TATGGGTAACAGCAGGGGACGGGCTGCAGCTGACCAAGCACACATCTTATCTTCTGATGAGTTAGGAATTTGCGATCTGCTGAACAAGAAATGCGAGGGGAGCATGTTGTTCTCAGCGAAAGCGAAAGCAGAACATCTCAGACAACTGTGTAGGTGGCCAAGGCTCATGTAACTGTTCTGCAACGCCAGGGTTGAAAAGGAGAGGTGGGAAATTAGCCTTGCTTTCTCACCCATAGGGTTTGGTTAGAGCTGGTTTACAGATGTGTAGCCAGAAAACATTAAGCTTTTTCTGAAGCAGTGTAAGAGCAAGTGTCCACAGCTAGATTCCAACCACCCACCCCAAAAAACCCAGGCTTATGTAATATTACTAGGTCACTCCATTCTCCAGCCTCCTGCCATTTTCTGCACATTAACCCCATAGACTGAGCTTTCTGTCCCCATGTTCCAAACCCATTTCTGAAGCCACCTCTCTCTTCTATTCGGCAGCCCTGTTTTGCACCCCCGTTTCAACTTCACCCCAATGTCCATGCCTCCCCCTTCTATTGTGCAATCCCCACTGGCACGCAGACTTCTGTCATTGTTTTAGGTAATGGTAAAGGGACCCCTGACCATTAGGTCCAGTCACGGACGACTCTGGGGTTGCGGTGCTCATCTCGCTTTACTGGCCAAGGGAGCCGGCGTACAGCTTCCGAGTCATGTGGCCAGCATGACTAAGCTGCTTATGGCGAACTAGAGCAGCGCACGGAAACACCGTTTACCTTCCCGCCGGAGCGGTACCTATTTATCTACTTGCACTTCGTGCTTTTGAACTGCTAGCTTGGCTGGAGCAGGGACCGAGCAACGGGAGCTCACCCCGTCGCAGGGATTCAAACCGCCAACCTTCTGATTGGCAAGTCCTAGGCTCTGTGGTTTAACCCACAGTGCCACCCACTGTTTTAAATCACTTTTTGCCACTCAGCATACCTCCACCCCCACTTTGCTCAAACTTCTGCCACTGCTTTAAAGTTTAAACCACCCCTTTCCCCCTCTCGGTGTGTCTCCCTTCCTGTTTCTGTGCCATGGCTTGTTCTGTTGCACAAGCCTCCTTCATGTTTGCTCCCCTCTCCCCACCCTGACTTCATGCAAATCCAGGATTGTGATAAAGCACTGCAAATCCCCCAGCGAGGGCTGCGCAGTGACATTCTTACATCTTCAGAGAGATTATCCTTCCTTTAGTTATAGGTTAGTAGAAATTGCCTCTTTTCCTCGTCTAGCTGAGCAAGTCTTAGGTAGCACAAGAAAATTGCTGCCGCTGCAACTGAAGTCGTCAGACTGATAGAGCACAAAGCGGCAGCTCAGAAACTTCTTCCACTTCCATGGGGTATATTTATCACAGGAAGGAAGCAAAAAAGAAAGCACTGTGCAGCACAAAACAAGGTCGATGGACAAGTGCAGGTAAGGATAGCGTTTCTGAGGCTATTTATATAACACCAATTATATTAGAACCATTGATCAGGTTCCTAGGTCTATGGGTTACATTTATTCTGCTAAACCAGGCATAGGCAAACTCGGCCCACCAGATGTTTTGGGACCACAACTCCCATCATCCCTGGTCACTGGTCATGTTAGCTAGGGATCATGGGAGTTTGGGTCCCAAAACATCTGGAGGGCCAAGTTTGCCTATGCCTGTGCTAAATCTCCTGGTTTAAGACCCGTCACTCTGGGAACCTCGAACCTCAATGAATACATTGGCAGTATATGTGATGTAACACACTGAGACATAAGAACAAGATCTACTATATATTTTGGGAAATGGTTTGTCTGTCTGTCTGTTTGCTTGTTCTGTTATGTGTTTGGATGCCTCTTGAGAGATCATCAACAGACTTGGTGTGAGGGCTTCCAATGTGGCATGGCAGTTGTCATTGTCATTGTGCCACCACCGGCATTTTGAATCAAGATAGCAGGCCCAAACATCACGTTGGTGTGACTTTGTCTGGTTTTTTGGGGGGGTTTAGGTCCACCTATACTCCATGGGAGAAAAGCAATGACAAACCTAGACAGCATCTTAAAAAGTAGAGACATCACCATGCCAACAAAGGTCCGTATAGTAAAAGCCATGGTTTTCCCAGTAGTGATGTATGGAAGTGAGAGCTGGACCATCAAGAAGGCTGATCGCCGAAGAATTGATGCTTTTGAATTATGGTGCTGGAGGAGACTCTTGAGAGTCCCATGGACTGCAAGAAGATCAAACCTATCCATTCTGAAGGAAATCAGCCCTGAGTGCTCACTGGAAGGACAGATCGTGAAGCTGAGACTCCAATACTTTGGCCACCTCACGAGAAGAGAAGACTCCCTGGAAAAGACCCTGATGTTGGGAAAGATGGAGGGCACAAGGTGAAGGGGACGACAGAGAACGAGATGGTGGGACAGTGTTCTCGAAGCTACCAGCATGAGTTTGACCAAACTGCGGGAGGCAGTGGAAGACAGGCGTGCCTGGCGTGCTCTGGTTCATGGGGTCACGAAGAGTCGGACACGACTAAATGACTAAACAACAACATAGGTCCACCTGCCTCTTAAGATACTACTGTCAAATTGGCATGAGGGTTCCTGAAGTGGGGGGGGGGAGGATTACGTTGACGGCCGCCATTTTGAATCAAGATGGTAGGCCAAAACATGTATTTGGTGTGACATCGCCCAGATCACAATTCTTCTGTCGCTCTCCATATGGATGTCGCATTCCCCATAAGCCACTTTGAGACATGGAGGGTCTGAATTCTTTAAATAAATAAACCGCCTTTGACACCTTGAACATTCCATTCAAGGTTAAGGCAGGCAGTGCCTGCAAGGACGTACAGCACCTTCCACAACTTCCACAATTGCACAACTGCAATTATTACAAGCATCATTCTTGCATTACCAATTTCTTGTATTGTCCCTGCATTTAACGACATCAGCTCTGCCACTAAACGTGCAAATAAAAACAAACCCTACCCAGCATTGCAGATTCAGGTCATCCTATACGGTCCATTCTCCTGGCAGTTTCCCACCAGCAGGTGGCGGCTACAATTTTAAGGCTGGCCACTTTCCCAAACTTTTACGTTTAGGATACAAGTTAAGCATTAAACCTTTAAAACAAGAAAGGTGACAGGGGGTTCTTGATCAGAATAGTCACAAATGGGAGGGGGTGTTTTTGTTTAATTTTTAAAGAGCAGGTCTTTTATCTGCTTATTTTGACCTCTGTCTTCTAAAGCAACAAGAAAGCTTATTGATCCCAATTCCTACAGGACACGAAAGCTCATTACCATTAAATGGAGAACGTCCATTTTGCCCCAGTTAAGTGTAAATATTTAATGGGCATTCCTCTTTCTTCCCACCTGACTGGAACTGATGAATCAGCCTGTCAGAATTTGGATATGATCTTTAAAGAAACTGCAACCTATTGGCAGGAAGTTATTTTATATAGATAGGATTTCTTGGGAGCATCCTATGCGAAAGATTATGTGGAATCTGTAGATTACTGAAGCAGCATATTCAGAGTTTTACTATCTACATACTGGCCATATGGTGCAATAACTAGAATGTTAGGTTCAGAGATGTGAAACCTCTGTACTGGTAAGTCACTCACAATGCAATCCAATACCTGTGTACTTGGAAGTAAGTCCACTGAGTTCAATGGGACTACTCCCAGGTAAGTAGATAAAGGAATTCAGGCAGGGTGACCTTGGGCTGTATTCCCTTGGGAATAATCTGTTAAGGGCTACTGGCTGCTGGTGGTGGGTGGGACTGCAGTCAAGAGGTAGGTGGGAGCAGAGCTCAAAGTGGGTCGTGCACCCCTTCCCTCTCTGCCACCCCTCCACATGTTCTCTCTTCTTGCCAGCTGCATGTAATTAGGCCAGAGGCTCCAGGAAGTTCTTGGGCCACAGACTCTAGCGGCCACTTCCCTCAACTTTGTGTCTCTTTCCCTTTACTAGGCCCTCTGCTCTCTTTGCCTCTTCCTTCTTTGACCCAAAGCTACCCTCAACAGCTATAGCCTTCCCAGCCTCTGTATGACTTCAGAGCAATTCAACCAATGGTCTCCAAGCAAGAAACTGCACCAGTTCCTGTCCCCATTCTACTCTGGGAATTATGGTGCTGCGCATTCCAGGTAGCCTAGCTGACCAATGTGTTCATACTGGTCATGGTTTGAATACTCTGGAGAGCAGCCAATGCATGGATAGTAACTTGTGTTGTATTGCCAAAGGCAGAAGCCCCTCACTGTGCGTCTGTTGTATGCCAAGAGCTTCTCCAAGGAATTTTATTTAATTATTCCTGGTTTTAAAAGCCAATATATAAAGCAGTCTTGATGGAAACCCTCTTCACAAAGACTGGGAGATGTGACAGTGGTCTTCAAACATCTGAAGGGCTGTCCTGGAAAAGATGGAGCAGACTAAATCTCTGCTGCTCCAGAAGATCAGTGAGGGGGCAGAAGAAGGGTCCTTGGTCGTGTGGTAGGGTTTGCTCACCCAGTGTAGGCCTAGTCATCTGTATTTGTTTATGTCCACTTCTCTAATAAACAACATTTCTGGAGAATAGGTTTTCTGGTTATCTTTCTGGACACTGATAAACAAGTTATATAACCCCTCGTACCTGTCTTTGGGAGGACAGCCGGATAAACATCCCATCTGATCTTTCACTAATTAAACTTGAGCACTGGATCTGTCCACTTTGGGCTAATCGGTACATGTTCAGCTAAGAGTAGTTTCTTCGCCTAGATAAATTTACTTGTCGGTAAATCAGATATATTGGTAATTAAACACAATATGCCTCATTTCCAGGAAAATTCTTCCTAAATATGTTTACAAAAATACAAAAAAAAACCTGTTAGGGGACAACCTCTGAGTAATGGATAAAGCATGTTGCTTGGTGGCCTTCCAAATGTTTATATATGATAAGTGCTGGTGGCAACATGTCTGAGGTTTTGTCAGATACTGCCACAGTAGCTGCAAACTCCCCAGATTAATGCAATACCAGTTTTTAAGGCCCTGCTTTCTAGACTGCAACACCTCTCCTGCCTTAGGAGTTTGGGATGTAGGAGAACAAAACTGTGGCTTAATCCAGACAAGGCAGAAGAACTATTGGTTAGTGGAAATGCTCACCTGAGATTGGAAGTACAACCTGTTTTGGATGGGGCTGCACACAGTTTTCAAGACTAAGTTTTCAATTTGGAAGTGCTCCAGGATCTGTCTTTACTCAACGGGGGGCTGTCGAGGCTACATTTGTGTGCCAGCTGCATCCTTACCTGGAGAAAGTGGAACTAGTCAGTCACACCTGCCTTAGTCATATCAAGTTACATTATATAGTACCAATAATATACTCATATTCAGAGCACGTGGGGCTGCACTTTAAAGATGTTTGGAAACTACAGCCGGTGCAAAATGCTGCTGCCAGAATAATTTCTAATGCTTGCTAACCCATGGTTTGTCAAACAAACCATGAGTTGATGGGTTAGCCTAGAGATGATCAAGCAAACAATTTGTTTTGTGAAGGCTTGGTTTATTCCCCATCTCCTGTTCCCATTGCCTCCTTGATATCCCAAACACCTTGTCCATTAGTTCTTCTTGGTCCTCTGATACAGATGGGTTGATTGTTGCTTCTCTGGAGATGCAAAAGATCTGGAGTGTTTTTTGTTATGTTTTTTGGGATCTTCATCAAAGGAAGTCATCCTGGCTGATTTAACTGGACAGAGAAGCTGGCCACCATCCCAGACGACACTTCAAATACTGCACCATCCAGTGTAAAATAGGACACGTGGCAACCTTAAAGTGGGAGAATATGTAACTTTGTGATTACTTTATCTTTGTGACTATCTTTGTGATACTTTAGTCCCAAGCTATTTGGGGCTTCAAAGATTAAAAGTGGAACCTTGACCTAGATCTGGAAACAGACCAGAAGACAGTAAAGTTGTTTTTTTACGATTTACAAGATGCCTTACAGTTCCAGTAAGCAGTTTTGCTGCTGAATTTTGTACTAACTTGAGTTTCCAAAAAAAGGGCGCTTGAAGGGCACCCTCACACAGTAATGTTCCTGGAAGGAAACATTACTACAGCATGCCTAACTCTGGCCAAACAATCTTTGTCTAGGAGAGGATGCAGCTGGTGTACCAGCTTTAGCAGCTGGGAGATGTGACGTGCTACCAAAGTCACTTGGGCTTCCAAATATAGGCCTGGATTGAATAGCAGCCCCAGAGTGTAAAGCTGCTTCCTCAGGGAGATTGCAGCTCCAACCAAAACAGACAAAGTCCAAGCACCTGCCATCAGCATCTCTGCCTTCTCAGGATTGAGCTGTAGCTCACTGTCAACCATCTAGTTCAATTCCAATCATAGTATTTCCACAGAATCTCCTGAGTCTGACATACAAAAAGAGTAGTAGTCTTGGGTGTTAACAATGTACTAATGTTGAAATATACTCGGAGTTGAGAGTGGATTTCATGCTCTTTATTCAGCTCATAGCGGTGAGGAGGAAATGGAAGTTCCCCCAGAATGTCTGCTTTATATACATTATTTACACAATGGGCCCCACATGATTGGCTAATTCCGGGATTCTCCTGTAGGTCAATCATGTTGCGGATTCACTTCCACCTGGAGCTGGATTGGGTGGCTCCTGTGGACCAATCAGACTGTTGCATTCTGGATCCTATTGTTCTAGGACCAATCAGACTGCTGCAATCTGAATCCTATTGTTCTAGGACCAATCAGACTGCTACTGTGATGGCCTGGGATTCGGATTCAGATGCTGAACCTGAGGGATCCCAGCCTGCACAGGATTCCCTGCCTCCAGAACCAGCTGAGCCGGGGCTGGGGCATGAGCCTGAAGGGTCCTCATGTGTGCTGGTTCCTCAGGTGCAGGCACCAGCTGAGTCTGCTCTGGCTCCTGAGGGGGTGGAGGACCCATTGCCTGCAGGTGCTCCACTCTCAGCCCTGTCAGGGGAAGCTGAGGTTGCCTCTGGGTCCAGTAACCCTCCAGCTTCTCCTGAGCTGCAGAGGCTCAGGGCAGAGAGTCGGAGGGAACTAAGTTCCTGCAGGAGGAGTGCTCACCTCCAGGCCAGGAGAGGCGAGTCACCTGAGGATCAGGGCCACCCTATGCCTCGGGGCAGATAAAAGCCAGCCAGCCAGCCAGCCTCAGCCCCAAGTTGCAGGAGCAACTTCGTTGGTTGTCAGTTCCTGCCTGGACCCTGTCCTGCTATCCTGCTGGAGCTCCTGACATCACCCGACTACCTGCCCTGCATCCGGCTTCAACTTAATGGACTGCCTCCATACTGCACCTTCGACCTCGGACTGGACTCGGGCCTCGCCTCTCAGTTAGCCCTCGGGACCAGCACAGCTGCATTCTGAATCCTATTGTTCTAGGACCAATCAGACTGCTGCATTTTGGATCCTATTCAACTCAGTACATAACAAATGTAATCACACCTAAAATGCCATATAGATTTTAAACAGCATGGAGGACAGAAACAAAGATGCAGAATATCATATAGCTAACCAGTCACAGCACAGTAGAAGTTGGATAGCACTACCTTCTGGAAAAAGCCACTGAGACAGGAAAGGAATACTATGCACTTAATCCCTATCCCAGATAGCTGCTTCACATGGTATTGAAAGCCTAAAGGTAAAGGTAAAGGGACCCCTGACCATTAGGTCCAGTCGTGGCCGACTCTGGGGTTGCGGCACTCATCTCGCTTTATTGGCCGAGGGAGCCGGCGTACAGCTTCCGGGTCATGTGGCCAGCATGACTAAGCCGCTTCTGGCGAACCAGAGCAGCGCACGGAAACGCCGTTTACCTTCCCGCCGGAGCGGTACCTATTTATCTACTTGCAATTTGACGTGCTTTCGAACTGCTAGGTTGGCAGGAGCCAGGACTGAGCAACGGGAGCTCACCCCATCGCGGGGATTTGAACCGCCAACCTTCTGATTGGCAAGCCCTAGGCTCTGTGGTTTAACCCACAGTGCCACCAAAAAGGGGGAGGGGAATTGCACTGGATGCAGAAAAAGCCAAAAAGAGAACAAGTTTGCAAAGTGCCCCCAAAATTAATGTGCTTGAAGCATTTCAGAATTAAGAAGTTCCCTCATCGGGGGAAACACTTACCAGTGAATTCAGCAAACAACAAAGCTACAGAAGTTTATATTTGCAGGTTACTGGTGAGAAGTGTTGCCCTTGTTGAAGGAATTTCTTCATTCTGAAACATGGTGGGCATAATAAAGCAGTCTGGCACCTTGAGACCTCATTATCTCTGATCTAGAACGTCATTCTCCCATTGTAAGTCATCCACCAGGGGAACCAAAGCTGTTTTACTGCCAAATCCTGACCCCAAACCAGAATAAATTCAGAAAATGAGCATCCAAGAGAATCAGGAATTATCCAGTAACCAGCTGCTTAAACATGGTTATCTATAAAGGGCATAATCTCTGGGAATGGCTTTTTGACTGCTTCTTTTAAGATGGTTGGCAGGCACCATCCCTGTTTGCAGAGGGATATTATCACTTCCCAGCTCAGCCAATTATATATTTGATGCTTGATTTTATGAGCCAGGAAGGGCAGGGATCAAGCAGGCAGGTGGTAGGCTACACTTCTCTAAATGTCTTGTCCACATTCCTCATTATAAACAACGAAACATCCCACAACACAGGACTAGATGATGCTCAGGGTGTAGTCACTAAAATGTACCAACAAAGCAGACAACACAGGACTAGATGACATAGCTGTCAAGTGTCCCTTATTTGAAGGGACAGTCCCTTATTCCAGCGCCATGTCCCGCTGCTGTCCCTTATTGATGGATGTCCCTTAAATGTCCCTTAAATGATGTCCCTTAAATTTCAAAGGAAGCAGCTCCTCTTCCTCCCTCCCTGCCAGCCAGGGAGGAGGGAGGCTCCAACTGTGTTGCTTGGCTGTGTTGCTCACCCTATAAGAAGTCTAAGACCGACTGGGGGGTGGAGCTTCCATGCCGTGGGTGTGGCTAGTTAAGGCAAGCTGAGGGGGATTTTGAATGCTGGACGCCATTTTGTTGCACGTGCTGCTGCAAACTCTGTAGTGCAAAGCCAGGCTGGGAGCCATCTTAGTTGAGGCTGCAGAGGCCTTGTGGGGCATGTGCTGCAGATTCTCTTCAGTTGAACCTCTGGTTACAAAGTTGGTTGGACAGTGTTCTCGAAGCTACCAGCATGAGTTTGACCAGACTGCAGGAGGACAGGAAGACTGGAGTGCCTGGAACAGGTGAGGCTGCAGGTCCCTTATTTTGGCTGCTGGTCCCTTATTTTCAAGGCTGCTGGTCCCTTATTTTCAAATCTGTAAGTTGACAGCTATACTAGATGATGCTCAGAGGATGTAGTCACTAAAACGTACCAACAAAGCAGACTCCAAATCATAATGGATGCAAGCATTTTTTTCCTATATATCCTTGAAATGTTTTACAAGCAAACAATATTGGGCTTTCAAGGGGCTTACAGTATTATCTTGTTGGCCAAACTGGGAAAGCCAATGTACTATTTGTAAAAAGTTTTGCTGGATGGCCCTGTGAGGATAGTAGAGAATTATTATGCCACCCATATAATGAAATCCACCCCGAGCCAGGAATATCTATTTTCAGATGCTATAGAAGTGTTTACTCTATTTTTTCTCTCCAAAGGAGGCAGTACCTACATGTTTCCTGATATCTGTAGCCATAGAATGAGCACAAAAAGAGGTTGCTTGCAGTGTTTCTTTGAAGCTAAATTGATCTTTTAAAATATTCATTACATTGGTAGCTGTTTCTGAGAATGAGCTGGGCTGCTGTACGAAGACTGAGGAATACTTCAAAGGAACTATATGGAACTGAGTTAACATTCCTGCGCTCAGTTGGCACCTTTGATGGAGCCATACCTGTTGAGGTCTGCTGAGCAGATTCATATTTGTGGCATATAACTCATCTCACATGTAAACACACACTAATGAAATACTTGTTTCCATAACCAAAGTTTTGGGGTGCTTTTATTTCTGGCTCGTGAGCCTTTAGGAGATATTTGTGCCACATGCTTTGAGGATTTTCTGCATAGCAATGAAGACTAGAATAGCTGCATACAGCTTGAATGCAGCACGGTCCAGCAATATTCTCCCAAAGGCCTCCTAACACAAAGTAGAAGGGGAACAAAGGGGTATCTAGTCCAACTCTTTGCCCAAAAGGCAGGATCATCTTCAGCTCCATCTGTAAAATGTGGATGTTACGTGTGTACAAGAAGTAGAACCTAGCTGATCACACAGCTAATGGTTACTCCACTAATCAAACCAAGCCATACGCTACAAGGACACATGGCTCCTTGCCTCCAGGGCCACTGGACATTCTTGACCTAAAACAAGGTGATTAGCCCAGATCTCAAGCATGAGCAAACTGTACAAGGAGGTATCACTTGGAAATGTAGTTGGATGCAATTCATGCCAGTAAGTATGAAGGGAACTCCAAAGGTTGAATACTGTAACATATACCAGTAGACACATGGCTTTGTTTTTTTGTTTTGAAAAGTTTTTATTATTAAAATAATTCAGCATTAATGCACACATATTGCGAATATACAAGCATACAAACATACCTTTCATACAATCCTTAAAAATGTTCAAACATACCTACACTCAATCCCACAGATAATTCCTTTTCCCATCGCCGGCAAAAATTGTCGCAGTGAAAAAATTAAATATGAAAGAAAATTGGGCTACTTATAAAATTGTATTAGAGGAAGAAAACGGAGAATTGGAATTAAAGGATTATACAGAAATTTTACGCTCATATTAGTGACTGGTTCCAATATATTGAAATTAAGTATAGATTAGCGAAAGACAAAAAGTTAGGATTTGAAAAAGAAATATCAAAATTCCATAAATACTTAATACAAGAAAAATAAAAAAATATATTTAAACTGTATAATCTGATCTTAGAGTGGGAAACAAAGGATGAACTGGTTAAAGCATCCATGATTAAATGGACACAAGATATTGGGAAGAATATTATGTTTGAACAATGGGGAAAATTGTGGAAAGAAGATATGAAATTCACTATGTGTTATATATTGAAAATTACCTCAAAATACAACATAGATGGTATTTAACACCTGAAAGAATAGCAAAAATGAATAAAAATTGTAGCGATGTCTGCTGGCGATGCAACACTGGAAAAGGTACTATGATGCATATATGGTGGAATTGTTTAAACATCAAACAATTTTGGGAAACAATATATAACGAAATGAAAAAAAAAATCAGATATTCATTTAGGAAAACACCAGAAGGTTTTTTATTAGGAATAGTACCAGGAAGTCTAAAGGAAGAAGACAATACATTATATTTATACGTAACAGTAGCCGCAAGGCTATTGATTGCGAAAAACTGGAAAAGTGGTATTATGCCAACAAAAACAGAGTGGCTTGCCAAATTATTGGAGTATTACAATATATCCAAAACAATGGGAGAAATTGGAAGGATCTCAAAAGAGAAGATAGACAGGGACTGGAAGGTGTTTAAAGGATACTTGCAAAACCATATTGAAAAATCAGAACTCCTATTAGAGTAAACAAGTTCAGTTTTAAATACTGAAATACTAAATAAGATGGATAACAATGTGTAATAGAAAAAGAAGCATGAAATTAGGTTAAAGGTGTGTGAAAGAAAGTAATAGAAGTGGAAAGAAATTGCAATTGAGTAGATTGGAAGTCTAACACAAAGGTGGGATGAGGGGTGGTGGATGGTGATGGGACACATGACTTTGTATGCCCACATATGACCTTCTCTCTTTCTCCCACCCCCTCTTGTTACATACTGATTAATATAATCTTTAAACTCATTTCATGCAAGATTACCAAGCTGTGTGGAATTTAGGAAATGTGCTAGTCATTAATTGTGTCAGTAAAGGCTGGTGTTTAGTGTGGGAATAAAAGGCACAAGAATTCCACAGCTTTCATCTGTTCTGTTGTTCAATCTTCAGAAAGAGGGAAACCTGGATCTCTTTGGGTTCAAGATCCACCTCTCATAGATTCATTGTGGAATGCTGGGCAAGGTATACATTCTGCGCTTCAGTTTCCCTGTCTGTAAACAGGGAGCATCCTCGCCTACCTGTGCAGTTTGTAGGAAGAATGAACATTAAGGGCACTTGCAGGCTGTTACTATTTTGGGGTGGGATTCAATCACATACCAGCAAATGCAGGGTGATCTGGAGTTGCTCCACAACAATCCCATAATCCCCCCATTGGACATTTTGTGACAAGGAAACATTTGCTTGATGTAATATTGTCTAACCTCCCTGCAAACAAATGCTCAATACAGGGGCATCTTACCCATAGAGGCTAGGGGTGTGGGGCACCAAGTTCTGGAGGGCGCTAGGGAAGAGGCAGAGGCTGGACGCGGCGCCTCCCGGCATCAGCTCGCCACTCTTGCCCGCCTCTGCCATGCCAAAGCAGCGTCGCACCCGGAGCCTCCATCTGCCATCTGCACGAAGCCACCAGCTGAGCCGGGAGGCGCCGCGTCCAGCCTCCGCCTCTTCCCCACCGGGGGAGCCATCCTCCAGCCGCTGCCCGCCTCCTTCAGCCCCACCGGCAGCACTGTCCTCCCTAAAAAACTCTGGGAAAATGGGGGGGGGCACCAGAGGGAGCTTTGCACCATGGTGCTGGATATGCTTAAGATGGCCCTCGCTCAGCTTCTTGCTCAATACATAGCTTATGTTCGCATTACCACCTTTGTTGTTGTTTAGTCGTTTAGTCGTGTCCGACTCTTTGTGACCCCATGGACCAGAGCACGCCAGGCACTTCTGTCTTCCACTGCCTCCCGCAGTTTGGTCAAACTCATGCTGGTAGCTTCGAGAACACTGCCCAACCATCTTGTCCTCTGTCGTCCCCTTCTCCTTCTGTCCTCAATCTTACCCAACATTAGGGTCTTTTCCAGGGAGTCTTCTCTTCTCATGAGGTGGCCAAAGTATTGGAGCCTCAGCTTCAGGATCTGCCCTTCCAGTGAGCATTCAGAGATGAATTCCTTATGAATGGATTGGTTTGATCTTCTTGCAGTCCATGGGACTCTCAAGAGTCTCCTCCAGCACCATAATTCAAAAGCATCAATTCTTCGGCGATCAGCCTTCTTGATGGTCCAGCTCTCACTTCCATTCATCACTACTGGGAAAACCATAGCTTTAACTATACAGACCTTTGTCGGCAAGGTGATGTCTCTGCTTTTTAAGATGTTGTTTAGGTTTGTCATTGCTTTTCTCCCAAGAAGCAGGCGTCTTTTAATTTCGTGGCTGCTGTCACCATCTGCAGTGATCATGAAGCCCAAGAAAGTAAAATCTCTCACTGCCTCCATTTCTTCCCTTCTATTTGCCAGGAGGTGATGGGACCGGTCACCATGATCTTAATTTTTTTGATGTTGAGACCATATTTTGTGCTCTCCTCTTTCACCCTCATTAAGAGGTTCTTTAATTCCTCCTCACTTTCTGCCATCCATGAAGGAGATTACTACATTAGAGTGAAGTAAAGGAGTTCCCCCCACATTTCATAGCTCTTTCTGTTGTGTATTGAGTCAAAGGATTTTATATCTGTATTATTATTGTCTGTATTTGCATTAGGGTAAAGTAACTGCCTTTTGGTTCTAGAGGGTACAGCTACTATTGGTTCATTTAAGCTGCTGTATTTGGATCCTCTGTCTTATTGGTTCCCTCCAAAAGGCAGGACTGTGATTGCCTGATATTGTTCCCTCCAAAATGTATCCTTTCTTGCTAGTTCCCTGTCCCTATAAATGTAGCTTGCCTCTCCCCAGTCTTTAGTCTTGTGCTTAAATAAAGAAGTGTTACTAGAGAACTGTCTCCAGCATGTTATATCAGGAGAGCTGAAATCACAAACCCCACGTCACAACACTTTCCACTAGCTTTGTACACAACCAGGGGGCACTGTCTGGTAAGGGATAGTTTTACCCCATGCAAGGTGTTCATACCTTGGCTAGAGCCAAATTAGGAATGGCTTAAGGACTCCATTTGGTGTGAAGCTGGTTTGAGAAACAACACATCAAATGGTAGCATCTTCTAAACAAAGTAATTTATTTATTTATTTATTTATTTAATGTATTTATATCCTGCCTTTCTTCCAAGCTGGGATTTTCCCAAGTACAGGATACATATGCATTTTGCCTAATGTCATGTCAACACAGATTAAAAACCCAGCACTGGAAACAAAGCAAGTGACCAGCAAGCAGGAGTGTGAACACAGCTGATTTGGTCTAATGTCCCTGTAAACTTTGTGCAAACAAAACAGAATGGAATGCTTAATAAGTAGGTTGTCTAGAAGTGATCTAAGTATTATAAAGCACTTTGCTCCCTCATCATTTCTAATTGCATAGAATTTCAGCAGATGCCGCTTCTCCTACAGCAACAGCAATATGAGAAAAGATGTTCAAGAGACCTTTTCATCTAACTTAACTCTTATTTTTCATTGATTTGTATCCCATTCGTCCTCCGAAAGATCCCATGGCTTACAGCTTCACCCAACTTTTCTGACCTTTTACACTGGGAGTGGAACCAGTATGTTGACCAGTACCCTAGAATAAATTGTTTCTACTCCCTACACAATATTTTACAGTCTTACCAGCGTCATTCTTTTTCTGGACAGCTTTTGGGTAATCCCTCTAGTCCCTATAATTTACTCTAAGCCAAATTGAAATAGCCACACATTCTTCCCCTTCCCCCATTCTCTCTCTTTTCCCTGGGTCTATTTCAGATAGCAAAGAGGGGTATGGTACCTCTCATATCTGTTTTTTTGCAAAGCACCATGTGCATAGAGGGCATTATACAAATTAATACATAGGAAAGTGTCTGTCCCTCCCTGCAGTTCAACTCCCTCTCTTTTTACTAACAGCACATATCCATTCCTCCTGCTGGTGCAACTTTCTCATCATTTCTACATAGCAGCATTTATAAACCAGTGCCAGAGAAACTGGGTGAAAGGAAGGTGAGACGGAAGGGATACGAATATTTATGTGTGTATATGTATACATACATACACCTACACAATTACAGGTTTGAAGCCAACTTAAAATAAAAAGAGCTGGTAAGCAAAGAAATCTGTGGTGCTTTCCATGGGATCCGGGGGCATGTCAGCTAATACTCTTCCCTTTCTTCTTCATTTGCTTGTCTCTGCAGCAAATCTCAAGGGGGAAGGGAGAAGGGCAGGAACTGCATAGGCGTGAGAGAGCGGGGGAAATCCCGCATGCAGGATTTTGGTGCCTAACCACCCCCCCTCCCTCTGCAATTGCTCTCGCGCTCCCCCGCCTCTCTCTGAGGCCGAGATGCTGCATCACGGCACCTGCTGGCTACCTCTGTTCCATTATTGGGAAGGGAGGAAGCTCATGCGCCCTGCTTGCCTGTATTTTGCAGGGCGCTGCTGTAGCTTTGGAGTTCAGTACGTACCAGCATCTCTCTCTCTCTTCCCCTCCTCCCTCTCTCACAGGGCGGCCCACCCATGAGGCGAGGTGAGGCCGCTGCCTCGGGTGGCAGGATCCACAGGGGCAGCAGACCCCGATGTAGCTCTTTATTCAGGGCTGTCCCACCCATGAGGCAAAGCGAGGCCACCATCTTGGGTACCAGCATCCACAGAAGCAGCAGGTCCCGATGATGTAGCTCTTTATTTGGGGCCGGCCCACCCATGAGGCAAAGTGAGGCAGCCCACTCAGGAAGCAGGATTCACAGGGGCAGCAGACCCCGATGATGTGGCTCTTTATTTAGGGCCGGCCCAGCCATGAGGCAATATGAAGCTGCTGCCTCGGGCAGCAGGATCCACAGCGGCAGCAGACCCCAATGATGTGGCTCTTTATTTAGGGCTGGCCCAGCCATGAGGAAAGGTGAGGGAGCCCACTCAGGCAGCAGGATCCACAGGAGCAGCAGACCCTGATGATGTGGCTCTTTATTTAGGGTCGGCCCATCTATGAGGCAAGGTGAAGTGGCTGCTTCAGGTGGCAGGATCCACAAGGGCAGCAGACTCCGATGACGTGGCTCTTTATTTAGCGCCGGCCCACCCATGAGGCAATCTGAAGCTGCTGCCTCGGGCAGCAGGATCCACAGGGATAGCAGCAGCAGGAGGACCCCCCTCCTCGTGAGGCAGCCCACTCAGACAGGAGGATCCGCTGGGGTAGTGGACCCTGAAGATGCCCTCTTTATTTGCGGTAGGCCCACCCATGAGGCAATATGAAGCTGCTGCCTTAGGTGGCAGGATCCACAGGAGCAGCAGACCCCGATGACGCGGCTCTTTATTTAGCGCCGGCCCACCCATGAGGCAATCTGAAGCTGCTGCCTCGGGCAGCAGGATCCACAGGGATAGCAGCAGCAGGAGGACCCCCTTCTTCCTGAGGCAGCCCACTCAGGCAGCAGGATCCACTGGGGCAGCAGACCCTGATGATGCCCTCTTTATTTGCGGCAGGCCCACCCATGAGGCAGTCTGAAGCTGCTGCCTCAGGCGGCAGGATCCACGGGGGCAGCGGCAGCAGGAGGACCCCCTCCTCGTCACTGACGTAATTCACCCCTTCCTCCCTGACAGGGAGGGCGGGCCCATTTTGAGGTTCACCTCAGGTGCTCTCCCTCAACTCTGGCGGCCGCTCAGAAGCAAGGCACGGAAAAGGATCCCGCCACCCCTCACACAAAAAACCCCCGCCATTTCCCTCGAGCGCGCGCTCTCTCTCTCCCCCTCGCCTCAGGTGCCTCGCGCGCGGGGCTGAGGAGAGCGTGGCCTGGGTGGGCGGCTCTCGACGTCACGCGGCGCGGCGGCGCGCGGGGCCTGAGCGCTGCCGCGCCGGCGAGAGGGAGCGCGCCTGCGTGTGGACGCGCCTGTGTGTGGCAGGTGCCGGCGGTGGCAGTGGCAGCAGCCGCGTCCACCTGAGGGGAGAACCTCCGCTGCGCCCTGGCGCGCCTTCCCGCCGCCGCCGCCCTCCTCCTCCTCCTCCTCCTCTTCTTCTTCCTCGCTCCCTGCACCATGAGGGAAGAGGCGCCGCCGTCGCCGCCGTGAGCTGCTCGGCCGCTTCCTCACCGTCCTCCAGGCGAGGCGTCCCCCTCGCCGCCGCCCGTCCTACCCCGGGGGAAGCTATGAGCCATGAAGCCGCCTGGCAGAACTTCCCTCCGGCGGCAGAAGCAGCAGAAGCAGCAGAAGCAGCCGCCCTTCTCCGGCCGCCGCCGCCGCCGCCTCTCGAGCTCCGCCGCCGCCGCCTTGCTTTGCCCGGCTCGGCTGCCCAGCTCCATCCCCCTCCTCTTTCTGGCGCTCCTGCTTTTCTGCTCAGGGTCCCCCAGGATCTGTGGGGTCGCTGCGGACGCCGGTGAGTGCCCGCTTAAGCGGGGGGGGGGGGGGACAGATCCTGGAGGGATCCTGTACTGTGCGCGTGAGCTTGGACAGATCCTGGATCTCCGTTACACGCGCAGCCCTCTCTCTCTTTTGCGCGCTCGTGTGTGGTGCCAATGCGCTAAGAAATAAACGGGGGTGGGGTGTTCTCTTTTTTTGGGGGGGTTGGCATGTGGTGCCAATGAGCTACACATAACGAACCTCGGAGCCTGTTTTAGTCTGCATCTCCCACCGCCCTGGCTTTTTAATGTTGGTTAATAACAGAACTAGAAAAAGGGGAAAAAAAGGGGAGGGGGGGGGGAAAAGAAAAATCACCTTTTTGCCGTGTGGAGTCTTCGTGACAACCGGCGAGAAGTTCTTGTTCCGCACCGTCCGCACCGATTTGTTTCGGTCTTGACGCAGTTCCTTACCTCCATGGCATCCTGCCTGGTCTTGGGTAGGAATAATTGATCGTGACTGCAGCCGGATTCCTCCTCTGGTCGCTAACCCCCCCCCCCCCACGTCTAGATCATATATGTGTGTGTGTCTTTGCGAATATGAAGTTGTTTTTACATGGCAGACCTGTATATTTACTGTGTTACGGCGACTGGTGCTTACTGGTTTATAAGGATGGGCATGAAATGGTTTCGGGAGCTCTCTGATGCAGCAAAACGCTGCTGGCAGGCTTTCAAGGGTGCTGTTTTTGTGCAGGGTCTTAACGCAAAATAGAACAAGACAAGCAGGATAATGAGGGTTTTGGATACTGCCCGTTCTTGCACTGCTCATCCGAGGGAACCTACCTTTTGCGAACAGAAGGGGGGTTGCGGTGTTCTTTGAGAACCCTGGGGTTTTGTCTGCAAAAAGATATGTGCTTGTTACTTATCCCATGAAGCATGTTTATACGGGAGTTTATTTGAGACTTTCTCTGGTAAGTGTGCTTAGGAGTCCATCACTAAAGTTAAAAGAATAGTGAAAAGTTGCCCTTATGTAAAGGGAATTGATTAGCATTCAGTACACATGGGTTCATGGCTTGAGTTCCTTGCAGTAGAATCACTGATTTGTACATAGCCAAATTTATGTGGAAAAGTGGCAGGAATAGGGTCATGAATGGCAGGATTGTCCTTAAAAGAACTTGTTTCAAGGGTTCAGATCCCTGCATTTTGAATTTCATGATGCAAAACTATATAAAATCAAATAAGGAATTATATGTACAAATAAGTACAAAATCTAATCAAATAAATTGGTTTCATGAGGGTTACTGTATTACAAAAAGTGTTCTGTTCCTCTGTGAATTCATGGTAGGTTTGTCTGTCTTCCCCAGCTCTGCATTGGAATGAAACTGCAGAAGAAATAGAAAAAAGCCAGGCAGACGAAGATACTGCATTTCAACAGACTAACAGCAGTAGCTACAAAAATAACAGTCGAAGCAGTGCATTCCAGAAAGAAATCACATTGCCTTCAAGACTTGTATATTATCTCAATAGAGACTCTGAAAGTCCTTATCATGTCTTGGATACAAGGACAAGGCACCAGCAAAAACACAATAAGGTAAGGTGTTTTTTAAAAAATAAATAAAAGCAATACAGTTCTGTGACTCGAAATAGTCATGTCTCTTGAGGGATTGTCTTACTTTAAGAATGTTTATTCAGCATGTCTGTAATGCTTCAGAATTCACTGCACAGTTCTTGGGTCTGAAAGATGCGTCAGTCAAAAAATAGGGTTCAAATACCAAGAGACTTTGCAGGTAACAATACCCTTGTCAAATTTCAAGGATTATTACTGCTACCACAGAACAAAACTTGAAGTTCAAACCATGGTTTACTTGTTTCTTTAGAGGCCTAAAATATTTTCCCCTCCATCCAGCTTACCTGATTGAGAAAAATAGAATCACATTGGTAGAATGACTATGTAATATTTCTGTGTCACAGACACAGGGGACCCCAGAGAATTACAGTTCTAATTTCTTTATCTTAAACAGGAAACCATTTTTTAAGCAAAGCACAAAAGGCAAGAGTCAACTGTCATGCCAGTGGTTGTGACAGGACTTCCTATCCTCCCCGCTGCAGCCCCCTGCGCCTGCCCCCCAGTCTGCTCTGGAGTTCCATTTAACCTTCTGGAGCAGATTTGGAGGCATGGGGGTCTGCAGGGGGAGATGAGGAAAGATAAGCCATGTTCCAACAAGTGGAAGTCCATTGTGCAAGTGGATACCACAATTGTGTATCACTCACAAGTCTTGATACAGCTAAAATTAGTCATGGCTATGTGCTTTTGAAAACAATGGCGCTAAAGGTGATAGCAATCAACTTGTTCTATTGATTTCAATGGGACTTAATTGTAGCTAGCTTTAGCTCAGTCAGGTCATGGTGTTCAGAAGCACATTACAAAATATATGAATGACCTTTCTGTTTGCTGACAGTAATGTACAAGTTGGATATAAGTCTGTGAGTTTCATTTGTTATGTATTACAACCTTATGCCCTCACTTAAGCTGTGCTTTTCCTAACATGTCCATAAGAAATGGGCCCAGATATGAGTTTATCCAGCTACAGAGTCTATCTGATAGAGTGTGTGTTGCAACCCATTTATGAATAGAATTCAGTTCCAGTACTGGTTTGGCAGACTTGGGTAGCTCAGATGGACTGACATTACAAAGGAGCTTTTGAAGAAGAACCCTAACTTGGGAGGGAAGAAACCAAAATAGTCTCATAAGAATTAAATGTCAGGGAGTGTTGAAAGACTTAACTGGGAAAAAGCTGTCAACTGCATGGGAGGGAGAATGGAATCCAGCAACTTGAAAGGGAAGAGGCAAGAATGGAATCAGTCATCTCATAGGCCATTTCCTGGTTCACACATTGATTTAAAATGTCACCACAGAAGACAGATCTGTCCATAGGCATGAGTGAAGAAATTGAAGATTCCAATGTACTTGATACTGGGCAGCCTGCTAAGAATCACAAAATGGTGGAGCAAAGCACAAGATGGAAACAGCCCAGTGAACCCCAAAACACCCCAATGAGGACTGAACATGCTCAGTGCAGGATGGTGACTGGCCAAGGGGGAGTGGAAGGCAGTGGCTGGAAACCTTAACAGGAGCATTCCACACTGCAACCTGTTTCAGGGGCATGCTTCTCATAAGTATATTTGCCACCTTGCCAATAGACACCTGTTTTGTGCTTTCTAATTGCAGGTGTGCTATAAGATTGACATCATTCAATCTTTTTCTCCGAGGGACAGGGGAGAGCCAATTACCTGCATTCTAATATAGGATGCTTCTTGGGTACAGTGGTACCTCTGGTTACATATGCTTCAGGTTACATACGCTTCAAGTTACAGACTCCGCTAACCCAGAAATAGTGCTTCAGGTTAAGAACTTTGCTTCAGGATGAGAACAGAAATTGTGCTCTGGCGGCGTGGTGGCAGCAGGAGGCCCCATTAGCTAAAGTGGTGCTTCAGGTTAAGAACAGTTTCAGGTTAAGAATGGACCTCCGGAACAAATTAAGTACTTAACCCGAGGTACCACTGTATTTATTAATAGCATTATTTCAAGTTAAAGTGTAGCGCTTCCTCTCATTATTAGTAGTTTTGTGTTACTGGAACCAAAGGGTTGCATGGTAAGCCTGAAGTCTTTGGGCTATAGCCAATGTTAATCCTACTCAGAGAAGACCTAGTCAAATTAATGAACCTAAGTTAGTCATGCCCATTAATTAACCTCATTGGGTCTTCTCTGAGTTGGACAAGCACTGGGTACAACCCTTTGTATCACGTGTCAGATCACTTCTGAAACTTAGGAGATCTTTGACATCCACTTCAAACTTAGACCTTTGATTTTTAAATTAAGGCCACTTCTATAGCATTAACTCCTAAAATCTAACTATAATCGCTTCCAAAATAATGGGAAATACTGGATTATGGTAAATATTAAAAATAACCAATTGTGGCAATACATGACTGAGATTCAGAAGGGCTGGGCTTGTGCACAAAACACTCCCTTGGATGTTCTAGAGGCAGTCAATTAAAATGGCTAATTTCCTTACTAGTTTCCCCCGGAAAAAAGATAATGTTCTCAGCCATACTTGTTGTTCCATCTGCACAAGTGTTCCAGCCTGCCAGACGGAACGATCCCCCACTGTCCTCTTTGCACTGTTCTGGGCATTCTGCTGACCTCTCCCAAGCCTATTTGGGTGCTCAGGGCTTCCACTGGGGCTTGTTAGGTGAATCCCGCACAGTATATACCAGTGGCAAACTCATGATTTGAGAGTGGATCCTTTGGCAGCCAAAACAGCACTATCTGTGCGCAGGTGAAAAGTAGTAGAAGGCTTGGGAGAACTCCATGGTTTAGAGAAGTACCAAAATATTTAAAAGATACTCTTAAGGGTTGTGGGGACTCCAAAAAAGCTGTTAGAGTGCAGGGAACAAAATGGGAGGGGTAAGAGAGAACAGAATGGAATATGCTAGAAAAAGTGCATGGCTGGGATCCAAAACAAGAGCTCTCTATCCTGCATCATTTTGTTGGAGTTTCCATTTGTCAGGTTCAAAGTCCACCTTGCATGAGGGTCTCTGGACAGCTTTAGGTTAGTTAATGGTCTGATCTAGTCTGTAGGGTGGTTGGGAGAAAATGAAAAGTCCATGTATGTAATCTTGAGCTTCAGGGAGGGCAGATTTCAAGACTGATGAATACGTGAATATCTATATGTGGAGCAGGATTAATGTGGCTTTGCTGAATTAAATATACACCAAGGTTGGCATATCTGAAAGATAAAGGCCACAGCAATCTGGAGCCGAGTGAGTGATTCAGCAAAAGGAGCTGACAGAGAAAAGAGAAAAATAGCTCTAAATATCTGTGATTCTGAGATGAAAGACTTCAGTTAATGCAATAGTTACACAGAACCGTGTGTGCAAATCTTGTTTGACATAGGCCTCTTGTCAGCTGGTTCATTGTGAAACATGCTTTATTCCTCCTAGGGGGTGGTACATATATAGAGACTCCTAAAACACACACGCTTTGGCAGTGGCCAAGATATAGATATGGGTGATTTGGAACCTTATCTTTACATCTCAACTAATTGAGAATGTCACCATACTTTGTACCCCTCAGTCCCTTCTTCTGTGGGTGTCAACACTTCAATAAACTCTCCAGTCCTTATGAATCATGCACATAGTCTTGCAGGCTGCTTACCTCTGCTTGACTGTATCTATGCATGTGTCATGACACCAACCATGAGCAACAGCATAGTCTCTGACTCAGGGGGTGGGGGGAAGAGCCAGCCAGATTAGAAGGACTGCAGAGGTGCTATAATGAAATCTCAACAACAAGCCTGAACTGGAGCAAGTTGGCCAGGACTACCCTTGAACTGAGACCCCACAGAGGCAATGCTTCTTTTGCCAGGTTTTGCTGATAGATCAGCCACCTCTTTGCCCTGGACTTGACACTCCCTAGTGCTTGCTTGTTTTTGCGGGTCATGCACCAGATGGAGTAAACCGAGAGGTGGACGAATGTTAGGCTCAAACCAGAAGTCTCTTCCTCTTAAGGATTTTCAGTCCTCAGGAACAGGGTAGAGCATTGGATGCAGGAGTAGGAATGCTTGAGGAATTTCATTTCTGTGAATTCCAATATGAAATAATCTGATTTGCTCCTCCTGAATGAAAGTGTGGATCATAATGTAATTATGCTATTCTTTGCATTTTACACTTCTCTGAATTTTAGCGATACAATTTTTAGCTCAAAAATAATTCAAAATAAGTTCTAAAATATGTATTTTAGGATAAAATACGTTTAGAAATGCATACGCTGAAACAGACCTGTTGCTTCAGGGGCTGTGCAACACTATCTGGAACAGGCTAAGCACCACTTTCAGTATAATCAGTACCATCAATTAGTAGTACTTCCATCTTGTCTGGATTAAATCTCCATTTGTTCACCCACCAATTTCAGTACTCCCAGCCAATATAATTTACAACTTCACTGCCTCCCCAGGACTGGGTGATGAAAATGAGAGACTGAGCTGAGTATCATCAGTAAACTGATGACACCTCAGACCAAATCTCTGGGTGACTTTTCCCAGTGGTCTCAGATAATAAGAATGTGGCTAGTAATCTTCTAAATTGCACCATGCCAAAGGGACCAAGGGGTAGCAAGATTGCATTGCATCTTGTTTACACAGGTAAGATTGCTTCAAAGATAGTTTGAGAAAATATCAGGAAGGCAGGCTAAAACAGCTACATATCATTTCATGTCATTTTTATTTATTAATTATAATCAGAACATTCTTCACAGTACTGTTAGTTGCGGTTGGTTCCCATTGTGCATTATATCTTTGCCTCAAGAAAGATAAAAGGAAAGGAAAATAAAGGAATTCCAACATTGTAAAGGTGAGGGGACAGGAGAAAATGAGTTATATAGTTAATAAGCTATTACTTAAGGTAGCATTGTTAGTCTTTTCAGAATTGACATAGTGTATTCTTTGAAGCAATTTTAAGGAAAATAAAGCTATTATATTCACATTAATATATTGTTGTTGTTTAATCGTTTAGTCGTGTCTGACTCTTTGTGACCCCATGGACCAGAGCTCGCCAGGCACTCCTGTCTTCTGCTGTCTCACGCAGTTTGGTCAAACTCATGTTAGCTGTGCTCTGGCTAGGAGTTATATATGCACATGGAAGCAGAGTCCCTAGCTAGATGGCAAACTGTGTATTCAAACTAGTGCTTTACATGTAGTTCCAGTCCTCTCTTAGATCCAACCGTTGGGCCTGTCTGCATGTGTGATTGCTCATCTCAGTTTTAGGAGATGGGAGCAGGCTAGACCTTTCAAAAGGGCTTTGCATGTGCAGTTCCAGCTGCTGTGTAAATACATAGTTGGATTACAGTCAGTGATGATTATTTTTGGCTATAGCAGTTGGAATGCCTGTAGTGAGAGTATTAAGCGCCCTGAATGTTAAGAAGGCTAATAGTCTTCATTGGGTATGCCACAACCTCAGATAAACAAAGAGGTTATCCTGCTTTGCTTACAAACTCTGTTGATTGTTTTAATAGGATTGCCGGTTCAACATAAGCAGCAAACTACTGTAGAATAATGAATTATTTAAAAAGGGATTCTGAAACAATTAAGGGCTAAAATAAGGCTTTGCCACATTAACTACATAGTTGCCTTTCCAAAAATGCTGTCAAATTCATCATGTGGGAAGGATGAACTATAAAAAATTCTTAATGGTAGGGTGGAGTATAACTGTGTATTTCATAGGAAGAGGACGTAGTGGCATGTAATTTCTTGGGGGTTCATGTTAGTTACACAGCCAGAGTATCTGAAATCATTTTGTCACCATGAAACTTCTAGAGCTGTATTTTTTAGGTACTTTTGTTTATTTATTTATTTACATACTTACTACAAGGTTTATATGCTACTGTTTAGCTAGTAAGGCAGGGGTCCCCAACATTGTGGGGTCTGTGGGCACAATTGCTCACCAGACAAACTGTGGCAGGTACACTTGCTCTTTTGGCTACAACAGAATGCTTCTTTCAAGATTGATTTTCGTGGGGATGGGGAAAGCACCTGGAAGAGATCAAGGTATGGATTCAGGACCACAGGTAATGTTCCTACCTTTGAAGCCAGTCATCCAAGTTGTCTCTGCAAGGTCCTGGAGCAACTAGCTAAGTTTTATAACAGGGCTGGGTAGATGTTGCCTGGGGGCCTGACCTTGGGTACTGCTTCTTGGCTAGTTAAAAGGCTGGTGCTTTCTTCAGCCACTGTTGGTTCCTTCAGATTAATTGGCATTCTAGCTGTGAAGAACGCTCCTCAGAGTTCTGTTGATTCCCCAAGGTGTTTGTGGACCAGCCATGAGAGTCTGGCAGCAGGGGTATCTCTCCAGGGTTTGGGGAGAGGAGGTGGGCTCCAGTGTCCTTGGACCGACACAGGATGGACCAGGGACTGGATCTAGCTCCTTCAAAGAACTTCAGTTTGCTGAAGGACACTGCATCTGAAAAGTCCTGGTTCTAACCTTGGCTCCCCCTTAATCCTTGTTTCAGACTTTCATGCCAGGCTCGTCGTCTTCCTCTGACAGCACCCCCCAACTTCTCATTGATGGCCATCAACATTAATAATTATACTTGTCAAATATTTCAAGGAGGAGGCTATGTAGATGGCAGCCAGCTCCGTTTGTTTTTCATTTTGACGTTATATTGAGTTTTCAGCCATTTGAATTTGACTTCAGACCCACTTATGGGATGGAGGCAGGTTTGGATGCTCCGGTGAGTGATCTGTGCTAGGAACCAGGAAATGTAGAACTGTTGGTTCAGCTGGACATCTCAGTGGTTTTTGATACTATCAACGATGGCATCCTCATGGATCACTTGCCTAGCATGAGACTTTGAGGCACCATTTTACAGTGGTTCTGGTGGTATATGTTGGGGGACTTCTGTTGGATGCCTTGTTTCAGGGGTTCCTCCTCAGGTACCAGCTCAGAGGGCCCTTCAAGGGGATCCCCAGCATTGAACTTAGCGGACCTAGCATACTCTAATCCTGCCCTTAGGCTACAATCCTAGCTCATTGAAACAATTTGTGCATATTTCTGAGTATACATTTTATTTTATTTTATTTATTAAATTTATACACCCCCCTATACACAACAATCTCAGGGCAGTTCACACACACACAAATTAAAAAACAATGTTATAATATTTAATGCATGTTACACATGCCAGAAGTTTACAATTTTCATACAAAAACACATCAAGCAGAGGAAGAATATAGTGCAAAGTGTCCATGGTTAGGATTCCACAGTTTGTGCATGAGCTGGTGAGCTATGAATAATTTGGCAAACTAACAGAATAACTTTTGTGTGTTTCTCGCCTTCTCCCACTTCCCTCCTTGTCTTCAGGCTGTGCATCTGGCTCAGGCAAGTTTCCAGATTGAAGCCTTTGGATCTGAATTTATTCTTGACCTCTCCCTGAATAAGTAAGTGCATGTTTGTGGCCATTTTTTTCTACCTTTTGTATTATTAGCCTTGAGCTGTTTTAGTTTTATGAAACGAGGAGGCTCTGCAGTAATTTCCTGAAATACTGTTTGATCATTGAAACCCTTTAAAAGAGGCAAAACCTGTGGAGGATATGTCTGTCGAAGGCTACTAACCATGATGGCTCAGCTCTAGATGTGTTTGGGTTCTCCTTGTGAGGTTCCCACAGGCATCTCCTTAGCCACTGTTGAAAGTAGAATGCTGGACTAGATGGGCCATGGGCCTGATCCAGAAGGTTCTTCTTAGGTTCTTATGCTTACCTGTGCTAGGCTGCAAAGAAGTACATGTATTGTTGTTATTATTATATACCGTATTTTTTGCTCTATAAGACTCGCTTTTTCCCTCCTGAAAAGTAGGGGGAAATGTGTGTGCGTCTTATGGAGCGAATGCAGGCTGTGCAGCTATCCCAGAAGCCAGAACAGCAAGAGGGATTGCTGCTTTCACTGCGCAGCGATTCCTCTTGCTGTTCTGGCTTCTGAGATTCAGAATATTTTTTTTCTTGTTTTCCTCCTCCAAAAACTAGGTGCGTCTTGTGGTCTGGTGCGTCTTATAGAGCGAAAAATACGGTATTTATTTTTCCCTGACAAGGACTCAAGGCGGCTTACAGATAAAATAAGAACAGCAAAAAACATAGAAAAGAACTAATACAAATCATTAAGAAACAATTAAACATTAAAAGAATTAAAACTAGGTAGACAATCAGAACAAAAACAGCATGCCACCAGCCCCCTTGTTAAAAGCAGTCAGTTCCCCAAAGCCTGTTGGAACAAGGCAGGAGGACAAGAAGTGGGGAGCCAGTCTAAGGGGAGGGAGTTCCAAAGTTGGGGAGCAGCCACCGAGGAGGCCTTCTTCTGCATCCCTACCAAGTGTCCCTGTGAGGGTGGTGGGACTGAGAGAAGGGCCTCCCTCAAGATCTCAGAACCCATATGAGGGAATATGGTCTTTCACTTGGTTGGACCCAAGCTGTGTAGGGCATTATAGGTCATAACCGGCCCTTGGAATTGTGCTCGGAAACAGACTGATAGCCAGTGAAGCTGTTATAACAAGGGAGTCATATGCTTCCTATAACCATCCCTGGTCAACAATTTGGCTGCAGCCCTTTCAGAGAGTTGAAGTTTCTGAGCAGTTCCATGTAGAGTGTGCTATAGTAATCCAAATGGGATGTAACTATGGGTTGTATCTGCAAACCCAGACCCAAGCCTGGCCATAGCATTCTGAACTTCAGATGATTGTAACTTTTGGTAGTGACCATAACAAGGTAAGATCTGTGAAATGTTATGAGTCGGTTTAGAAGTGGGAAGGCTTCTATCCCTCCACACTCCTGCCCTTTTTCTGCCCTTGAACTCTCTCATGCTTCACTTACCTCTTGCCCATCACTCCTCCTCAGTATTGATTCAAAACCGGGTCTGAAAGCAGAATGAAGTGGGTCTAGATAATCTGCTTATTCGAAGCATATCTGCAGCTGGTTGACTGACACTCTTTCAATCACCTCGGCCATTAAGAGAATATTAGAGACTGAACAGTAGTTTTCTTAAATTGCTGGATCATGGCAGGAAGACATCCTCTTTCAAGGCCGTGGGTATAACCCCCTCCCATAGTGAGCCATTAACTGCTCCATCCAGTAAATCCCTTCCTGCTAGGTTTTATTAGTTATGATGGACAGGATTAAAGGCGATTTATGAAAATAAATAAAACTGGAGAAAAAGTAAAAGGAAATTAAATAATTTAAGTGCAGAGTGTGGCCCCAAAAAAGCATGGTCAGCTTCTATGGTCCTTGCTTGACTATTTCAGCCATTTTAAGCAAGAATGCATCAGCACAAATATTTGTCAGCTCTTGCAGAAGCACCATTCTCTTACTGAAGTTCAGTTAAGATCTGTTTTTGATTATTTTGTTAGTAGCGTGACTGCTTTTGGAGCGAGAAAAGAATGTTTATGAAACTTACTGGATTTGCAACCAGTTAAACTATTTTAAAACGTGGACTCGCATATCAGCACATCTTTCACATCCTGATAAATTTGTCTCGGGAATTGCATTTTAGGTGAACTAGAAGTTATTTAGGTTCTAACACCTAACTTCTCTGTTCCATCATGGTCAATGAAATGACATTCAGAGTCATGCTTAGCGTTATCTACTGTCACCATAAAAAATGTGTGCATTAGAAAGGTGCAAAGCAGGTAAAAAACAGGAGTTTTGCTGGATAAGAATTGCTTTACTCTAGAGATGGGAAAAGTCAGCAAATAAGCCTGATAGGAAGAAATCAGAGGTAAAAAGGGCTTTTTAAGGTTCTTTTAAAGGAAATTGTGGAGGAAATTTAATGCACAAATGCACACTTTTTAAATTGTTACAGGTCATTGTACAGTATTTATTTTCAAAAATTAGATAGGGCAATAATCTATCACACTAGCAGAGTGGCGTTATGACCTGTTGAGGGTAGTTGGAGAGACACTATTTATACTGCAGGGAACACTCAGTGTTCATTTGCAGTGTTTCTTTGCACAGGTGAATTGTCCCCTCTTCCTTTAAGGATTCTTATCAGTTTTTTCAAGGGTAGGAAAGCTTTGCAACAGTGTCCTTTAGCTGCACTGCTGTGAAAAATGTTTGTTATTTATTTGAAGCAATTTTATCCTATTGAGAAAAGGTTCTCAGAGCAGCTTGCAAGGACCTGAAGAAAGTCGCATATAAAGTACAGTATGCATTTCAAGCAACATAATTGACACAAAGCTGATATATTACCTTAATGATTTTAAAATAAAACATGACAAAGGAGGTAGAATGCACATTCAACGCAGCAAAATTAACAAAAAAATTCTTAAACATTGCAAATGAAAACATTACTAAAGGAAGTCAAATATAAAATGTACATTTAAAGCAGCGTAGTTAGCAAGAGAATAAAATAAAACATCACAAGCATAGAACATATATGCTGCTGTTGCTGCCAATCCTGCCATTGGTGGTTTATGGTGAGTGGTGGCTGTGGAAGCTCAGGCTCAATGACCTGGGTCTGTACTAAGGGCTTATCCACACTTAGCTTTCCTCCATGCTTTATTGGCAAGGTATGTGCTTTAAAGCTCTGTGAGCACCCTTTTTTCGCCCCAGAGCTTTCCCTGCGTAAACCTGCTCTTTAAAGCCGAATTGGAACAAACGGCAATCCGCAGAAAACTCAACTTGCTGTTTGTTGTACTTCAGCTTTAAAGAGCGGATTATCGCAGGGTAAGGTCTGAGGCAGAAAAGAACACTTGGACACAGAGCTTTAAAGCGCAGACCTGTGCCTGGAAAGCACAGGGCAAAAGTTAAGTGTGGATAAGCCCCAAGAGACAGCCAAGATCAGGGGTCAGCAAACTTTTTCAGCAGGGGGCCGGTCCACTGTGCCTCAGACCTTGTGGGGGGGGTGGACTATTTTTTGGGGGGGAAATGAACAAATTCCTATGCCCCACAAATAACCCAGAGATGTCGGATGTAGAAGGTGATTGGGCCAGATCCGGCCCCCGGGCCTTAGTTTGCCTACCCATGGCCAAGATGGTCTCTTCAGCAGCCTCAACTTTTGTAGCTGGAGCCAGTTAGGTCCCTGCCCTTCAAGCTAGCTGGGAAAAGGCCTGCAAGGCAGGGAGCAGGTCTTCCAGGACTCACAGCCAAGATTTTTCACCACCTCTGAGTTGACCCCCTTAGTATTCTGTGCGTGTGGGTACAAGCCTTTTTCTTCCAACCTGTGATCTAGTGACTGATCCTCATGTTCTGTTAGAGATACTGATAAAACAATGTTTTCGCAAGTCAATACGTTTTTTTAGCTTGCGTTTCCCCACAGCCTTGGTAGTATCCACCATCCTCTTTAACAGTTCTGCCATTTCTTTTATTTTCTGGGCTGATATCTGTCCCCATCTTGGTAGCCTTTTGCCTCTTGGTTGAGAATTTCCTTTCCAGCAGGCTTTTGCCTCCCAGGGTTCGCTGATGCATTTAACTTCCTTAACTCTTCTCTTTCCTAATTTGGTGTATTGGTTTCATTGTTATACTATAATGTTGCTTTTGATATGTTGTCCTGAGCATTCAAAAACATAAAAAGCAGCATGTGAATGCTTTGTTCTTATTTTATTGTTTGTATTGTATTATTTGTATGTTTTAAACAAGTTTTAATTCTATTAATGTTTACTTTTAAAAATGATTGTTTTTTCTTTGTTTTTAGGGTTTCTTGTTTTATCTGTAAAACAAGGGGTCCTGTCAGGGAAAAAGCAGGGGTATAAATAAATATATAATAATAATATAATTTTAATAATAATATTTGTTTACACACATGTGTTTCTTAAGATAAAGTTGTTCAGTTGGGTGTAAGTAATGCTAAAATAACACCATAGTTGAATACATCTAATCTTAATTTTCATAGAAAAAAGTACAAGTGAACATGGTAGATTAACTGTGATAATCAATAATTAAGGCAAATATTCTTTATTACTTGCAGGATGAATTATGTTAAAATATTGAATGGATAGATAACCATACTGAGCACATTCAGGTTTTCTAGCAGTATTGTTTAAAGAACTATATATATTTTCTCTCATTTCTGTGTAGTGATTTATTATCCTCTGATTATGTGGAGATTCATTATGAAGAAGGAAAACCACAATATTCAAAGGTAATGTAGAAATATTTTATCCTGGCCAAAGAGTGAACATATCCTCTACATGTTCCCCCCCTCCCTTTTCCTTGCACATTTCAAACTCTAGGCAGTTTTTGAAGTTCATTTCCTGTAGTGACATCTGTAACAGGATCATTTCTGTTAGCACACCACCAAAAAGCACCCCGCATTGTCTGGAAGCATACCGCAATAGTTAGGAAAGGACCTCCACATCGGCGATCTTGCGTCAATTTGACACTCCTAAAATGGTTGCCGCCTATAATATAATAATTACAGATTGTGTACACTTGGCAGTTAGGAACCACTTAACCAACGTAATTATTTTTGTTTTAGAGGAGCTATATTTAATCATATTTCCCTGTCTGCCATTAAATTGATAGATGTGTATTGAGTGAAACTTCCTATGCCAAGCGTTAACAAAATTACTGTAACCACATGATGTATATTCATTGCTGAAACCATAGATCATGCATTTTATGGTTTATGGAACTTACAGCATTAAGTAGGGCATATCTTAAACGTATCATAAATGTTTGCAGATTTCTACTAATTCTCACCTGTTCAAGTTCTGTGCAAAAGTGTAGAAGTTGGTATTCTAACTTTACCCATTTCTGTACTGTTAAGTTTGAAAAAAAGTATTTAAAGTATAGCATGTCAGTTAGGATTAGTGGAACGTAAAACTACGTTGCCTACCTCATTGCAGTGCTCTCAGTCTGGCTGCTTTCATGGAACCATGCCTCCTTAGGTCATAATTACTGTATTTTTTGCTCTATAAGACTCACTTTTTCCCTCCTAAAAAGTAAGGGGAAATGTGTGTGCGTCTTATGGAGCGAATGCAGGCTGCGCAGCTATCCCAGAAGCCAGAACAGCAAGAGGGATTGCTGCTTTCGCTGCGCAGCGATCCCTCTTGCTGTTCTGGCTTCTGAGATTCAGAATATTTTTTTCCTTGTTTTCCTCCTCCAAAAACTAGGTGCGTCTTATGGTCTGGTGTGTCTTATGGAGCGAAAAATACGGTATCCTGCCTTTACTTACAGAGATCGGCATTACCATTATCCTTTGCAGGTGATGGTGCTTCAAAACTTTCCATAAGGATTTGAGAGACTTGAGACTGTGGGCCTGTTTAGATGTTATCTCTCCCCTTGCTTCTGTATATGTGAGATCAGAGGGAAACTTTGGGCTTGTGTGCTTACTCCCTTTGCTTCAGTCACCATGCATGCATAGACGATGTCGAAACCTGGAAATCCTATGGGGTTTTTTTAAGAGTATGCCTCTAATGTTCAAAAGGGAATCAGTGTTGAAATAATTGTTGGATCTCACAGTTGGATGTTAACTTTTATGTGTGGTGAGGAAGTTTTGGTAATCCTGGGACCGTTCCACATTTCTCTGCATGTAGATGTTGTGCCGCCCTCAGTTCCATGTTTCTCTGTTGCACTGTGGGAGGTCATGGTGTATGTACTGCTACCTCATATGCACAGCTGCAATAAGACTGAAAAATTGGGAACCTAGCAACTTCATTGGCTTTCAAATGAATTTACAAAATACAGTTATTGTGTTGTTTTTGTTAAAAAGCCATCTTCCTGGCCCTTACTCAATGCTAAAGGGACTATTTGCATTATCAGCAGCTCCGGAGTTGCTGAGTCATGAGTCTTGCACAGAACCTTTGAGTCAGCAATTGCACCATCTTTGCATGCTGCAGTAACTTGATCTAGATTTCCTTGAGGATATTTACAGACTCAGTTGATTTGGAAACACTGAGAAGAACCTTGAAATCGTGTGTTCCATAGCAGGTATCATTACATTCCCCAAATGCAGAACTGATTTATTACCCTGAAGGTCAAAGATAGCCCTTTAATATTTAATTTAAGGATAGATTTTAATTAATTTTTAAATTTAAATTTAAATTGCCCATATGTGGAGACTTGAAACTGAGATGAAATAATTTAGAAATAATTGCTGCAAGACCAACATATAATTGCTTCTTTGTGACCTTTGCAATAAGCCTTTTGGAATGCGCAAACCATAGCATACAATTTTACTGAAAGCACTGGCTGACCGCAGAGGCATTTGGGCCTTCTGTTATTATCTTAACAGTTTTGTGCCAGAGTAGAGTTAGTAGTATGCTCTTCCTGTGTTCCTTAGTGACCAGAGAGAATAAGTACATCATTACATATCTGGCTAATTTGCTTTGTCATTTACTTTCTTGATCAGCTAGTAATCATTATTTTGTTCGTCTTCTCACAGGGCAGTGTTTTCCAGAGATCTTTATTTTATGCATTGATCTTAGAAAACAAAGTGAAGATAGCAACTCTGGTTTCAGATAGAAATACAGTGGTACCTCGGGTTACATATGCTTCTGGTTACATATGCTTCAGATTACAGACTCTGCTAACCCAGAAATAGTGCTTCATGTTAAGAACTTTGCTTCAGGATGAGAACAGAAATCGTGTTCCGGCGGCAGCAGGAGGCCGCATTAGCTAAAGTGGTGCTTCAGGTTAAGAACAGTTTCAGGTTAAGAACGGACCTCCGGAACGAATTAAGTACTTAACCCGAGGTACCACTGTATAATAGATTCAGATTGTACGTCATATTACTTAAATCCAGTGCTTTTTTTCTTAAAAAAACAAAGTTTAGGGGTACTCTCATTTTGACTTGAGAAAATCACCATTTTATAGTTAAAATCGGGAAAAATAAATACAGTAAATGGACAAAACTACGAAGATTCACAAAATGTAAAGGGGTATGCGTCCCCCCAGAAAAAGAGCACCCCTTAAACCACAGACTCCTAGATTATCAGTCAATTGACTATATTTCTAACTCCTCTGTAAATATTGTGCTCTTCTTTTAAAAGAACAATAGATTATTATTATAATAAAAACATGTTAGTAGGTATTTTGGCTCTTAAAACATCATAAATGAAGCAGATACGTCTATAGTTCATTAGAATATAGGACTGATGATTCCTCAAGAACTTTCCTTCGCAACATTAGTTAAAGGTTTGAATTCTTAAAAATTCTAATCCTACTCACTGAGTGGAAAGTTTAGCTGAATCTTAGCTGAATCTGTTTAGAACTGCAGCTTTAATTCAGTGTAGCTTTTTGTTTGTTTGTTTTATTTAGGAAGGAGAAATACATGCTTCTTGTACTTTCCTTAAAAAATGCTGGAATTCAAGGAGACTTGCTTTTTGTCCTGAATAGACTTTATGCATACACCCAAGCGATCACTTACCTTATACAGTCCAGGTGAACGCTAACCCTTTTATAAACAAATTGCAAAAACCTTAAATGAAGCTGTCCATTTTATTCCTCAGGGAGGAGAACACTGTTACTATCACGGGAACATCAGAGGTGTCGAGAACTCCAAAGCTGCGCTTTCAACATGCAATGGACTCCAGTAAGTACTGGTATTATCACAGAACCATAGAACTTTAGAGTTGGAAGGCACCCCAAGTCGAACCCTCTGCAATTCAGGAATCTTGCTAGTTTATGTAGTTGCAGGGACGTCTTTACCATTGGGCGTAGTGGTGCGGTGAGCCAGGGCGACAAGCGGTGGAGGGCACCAGGCGGAGAGTCTGGGGAGGGGAGAGTGGGGAGATAAGCGAGGTGGAGCAGGGGCTTGGTGCCTGCGTGCCTCCAGCGCCCATCGGAGGTGGGAAGGCTCCAGATGCTTTCCCGCAGTCCAGATGTGCTGGTCTCGAGGGCTAACCGTGAGGCGAGGTCCGAGTCCAGTCCGAGGTTGAGGGTGCAGTATGGAGGCAGTCCGTCAAAGCTGAAGCTGGGTCCAAGGCAGGGAGTCGGGTGAGGTCAGGAGCTCCGGCAGAAAAGCAGGACATGGTGCAGGCAGGAACAGGCTACCAACAATGTTGCTCCCACAACTTGGGACTGGGGCTGGCTGGCTTTTATCTGCCCCGAGGCATAGGGCGGCCCCGGTCCACAGGTGACTCGCCTCTCCTGGCCTGGAGGTGAGCACTCCTCCTGTGGGAACTTAGTTCCCCCGCCTCTCTGCCCTGAGCCTCTGCAGCTCAGGAGAGGCTGGAGGGTTACCGGACCCAGAGGCAACCTCACTTTCCCCCTGACGGGGCTGAGAGTGGAGCACCTGCAGGCAATGGGTCCTCCATCACCTCAGGAGCCAGAGCAGACTCAGTTGGTGCCTGCACCTGAGGATCCAGCACAGGTGAGGACCCTTCAGGCTCAAGCCCCAGCCCCGGCTCAGCTGGTTCTGGAGGCGGGGAATCCTGTGCAGGCTGGGATTCCTCAGGTTCAGCCTCCAAGTCCGAATCCCAGGCCATCACACCGGAGCTCTCTTCGCTGGCTCTGCGACACACCACCTCCTCGGTTGCATCCCAAGCTCTGTGCATAATAAATGTGACTCTATCACCGCTTCTCCCTGTCCACTCCAAAAGATCCCCGCGCTCAAGGCTACACGCTGCAACTGCTGCCCCCAGCGCCCCTCCCTCCTTCCCCGGCTTCTCCACCCCATGCACAGAGCCTGCCTCCTCCCGCTGCCCCCACCACCTCTGCACTCCTTCACACGAACCGCATTTCCTTCCCCTGTCCATCCCCTTCCACGCTTTCTCCTCCCCCCCTTCCTCCCCAAGCAAGGACGGCAAGACTGCAACTGAGTGAGCGTGCTTCTCCGCTGCATCGACACGGACGGCCCAGTTCACTTTGCCTGTCTCTGCCCAGACGAGACCCCCGCCTGCCTCCCGTGCCACCCCCATCATGCCCGGCTGCCCAGCCCCACACCATGATCCCACCGTGGGAGCCGATGCCCAGCCACGCGCGAGCAGCACGGGGCAACAGCGTGAGGGCGGGAGCAGTCTTTCCTAAAAAACTTTAGCCCCCCCCCAAAAGGTCAGCAACTCGGGGGGAGGGGGGTCGCCGGAGGGATCTTTGCAGCATGGCGCCGGATATGCTTAAGATGGCCCTGTATAGTTGCAACATAGTTACAGGATGGGATGGTGGGGAGGTGGGGAAGTCTCCCTCTCCTGATGAGCCCCTCTGATGCTTCTGCGGCCACCTCACAGTCAGTGAATGCTTTAAGGAATTGTGGAGGAAGGTGAGAGGCTTGCAGAGAAGGTGCGCAGGGTGGGTGGCCAGGAAGGGGTTATTTGGGAAGTCTCAGATTTATTTCCAGTTCAATCAAAGGTGAGCAGCTGATGTGAATGCTTGGATGAACCAAGGGGATCTTCCTAGACACCCATATTTTTAACTATGTTTCTGATTCTATGGTTCTGCGGAGCTGAGTGTTATTTTAATTTCAGGTAGGTAGCCGTGTTGGTCTGACACAGACGAAATAAAAAAAAAAATAGTCGGGGAGCACCTTAGAGACCAGCTAGGTTTGTTCTTGGTATAAGCTTTCATGTGCATGCACACTTCTTCAGATACACTGAAACAGAAGTCACCAGACCCTTATATATAGTGGTGGGGTGGGGTTTTTCTCAGGAGGGTAGTAGGAGATGGGTGATTGACCGAATGGGTATAGTAAACCTGTTGACAACTGTTAATGACTGCAATTAGTCCAACAGGAAAAAGCAAGGGTAGTATGCAGATGACCAGAAACAGCTTTAGCATGTGTAATGAGACAAGAATCCAATATTCAGACCAGGTCTTTCCATAGTTTTCAGTATATAAACCCTCCCACTACAGTCATACCTCGGGTTGAAGTAGCTTTAGGTTAAGCATTTTTGGGTTGTGCTCCGCGGTGACCCGGAAGTAACAGAGCGTGTTACTTCCGGGTTTTGCCGCTCGCGCATGTGCAGACACTCAAAATGACGTCATGCGCGGAAGCGGTAAATCGCAACACGCGCCTACGCGGGTTGCATTTGCTTCAGGATGCGAACGGGGCTCTGGAACGGATCCTGTTCGCATCCAGAGGTGCCACTGTATATATAAGCGTCTGGTGACTTTTGTTTCAGTGTATCTGAAGAAGTGTGCATGCACACAAATGTTTATACCCAGAACAAAGTTAGTTGGTCTCTAAGGTGCTACTGGACAATTTTTTAATTTTTTATTTATTTATTATGTTATTTTAATGTTATTGATGGTTATCACTATTCATTTTTTTCTGGTTTTAAGATTATGTTTTATATATTGCTTAATGGTTTTGGAAGCCTCTTTGGGAGTGTTTGCCCTAAACAGTCTTATAACTATATTAAATAAATGGATGGGCGCTGTACTCAGATATTCCAGTCTGAAACAGTACTGATGATTCTGTAAATGCCTACTCTGGTATAGCTTCCTTGACTTGATTATCTTAAATCTATGTTTTTTCTTATATTCTAGTGGTATGTTTGAAGATAGTTATTACCTATATTTGATAGAGCCTTTGGAATTGACTCACAGTACGGTAAGTTAATACTGAGCTATGTAGGTGTTGTTTTGGTTTGTTAACTGATAGGCTTGAATAGAAGATAAGAATTCTGTAGGTTAGTAATATGTTTGCAAACTGCAATTCCATCTACACATATAGTAGTACTCATTTGCAGTTAAGATTTTGAAATAGATGCAAATGCTCAGATTTAAAGTTATATTTCAGCTTACAAAAGAAAGGGGTGGGGAAACAAAAAAGGGGGAGGTAATTATTTGCTTGCTTAAATTACAACCTCATAAACAAAAATGGACACATATATGACTGAAGATCAGAAACATCTTGCCAGCAATCAGCAGGAGAATCCAGGTTTCAGAGACTTTTGTCATCTAAATGCATATTCATAGAATATGAAGATTATTCTTTATTCTTTAAATAAGGTAATGAATATTCAAATATAGCAAACAAAATCAGTTGTACATAAATCAGATTCCCCTTTTCCCTTGAAGGCTTCCAGCTTCAGGGAAACTCTGATTCAGTAGATAGACTTTAGGCAAACTTCAGAGGATCAGGACTATTCCCTTGTATCTGAAGATGTGGTGTGGATAATAGATACAGGTCCCCCCACGTGAGGCTCTCTGCCCCAGCCTCTTCCTGCTCACTAAACCCTGTTTCCTCTTCAGCTTCCGAAACTTCCTCCTCCCAGTCTTCTCCATCTAACTGCTTACTGTCATCCCACCTCCAGTCTGCTGGCTCTGAGCCTTCTTCCCCTGGGGGTTCTTTTAAGGGTTCCCCAGCTGGTGCCTCCCCCCCACTCCTCTGCATCTAGCCAAGTCCATGACGGAAGGAGAGGGGAGATTGTTTCATCAGCACAAGCATTGCTGCTTGCCAGACAGAACAATAATAATGGCATGACATTGAACTCCTCACTATATCACGTAGTGTGGCTTTGCACAGTTGGGTTAATTGATTAGGCTGTTGCCTAATAAGTTAATTTAAAGGGTGGAGCTTCATACCCATGAACAATACAGTGGTGCCTCACAAGATGAAATTAATCCGTTCCGCGAGTATCTTCGTCTAGCGGTTTTTTCGTCTTGCGAAGCAACCCTATTAGCGGCTTAGCGGATTGGCGCTATTAGCGGTTTAGCGGCTATTAAAGGCTCAGCCGCTTAGCGGATTAGCTGCTAAAAGGCTATTAAAGGCTTAGCGGCTTAGAAAAAGGGGGGGGAAAAAATCTCAAGACTCGCAAGACATTTTCGTCTTGCGAAGCAAGCCCATAGGGAAATTCGTCCTGCGAAGCGCATTGAAAACGGAAAACCCCTTCGTCTAGCGGGTTTTCCGTCTTGCGAGGCATTCGTCTTGCGGGGCACCACTGTATTCCATAAATTAGAGTGTCTTGACCTTGAATTTGTCCCATGAATGACAGACCTGTTTTTCTCTTTTGTTACAGAGAAGTACAGGGAGACCACATGTCATCCAGAGGACGCTGGGAACAAATACTTCCAAGCAATTGGAAGACCTTGGTATGGGACTTTTGATACCCTTTTGCAGTGATATTTAATGCTATACAGTGGTACCTCAGGTTACATATGCCTCAGGTTACAGACTCTGCTAACCCAGAAATAGTGCTTCAGGTTTAGAACTTTGCTTCAGGATGAGAACAGAAATCGTGCTCCGGCGGCGCGGCGGCAGCAGCGGGAGGCCCCATTAGCTAAAGTGGTGCTTCAGGTTAAGAACAGTTTCAGGTTAAGTACGGACCTCCGGAACGAATTAAGTACTTAACCTGAGGTACCACTGTACAACGACTTTGTCAGTTATAAATCATTTAACTTTCTGCTGTAACAGAAAGGAAGTTTAGGGAAGTTTTTAATGTTTAAGGCTGTATTGTTTTTAACACTTGATTGGAAGCCGCCCAGAGTGGCTGGGGAAACTCAGTCAGATGGGCGGGGTATAAATTATTATTATTATTATTATTATTATTATTACTACTACTACAAGGGCTGAAACAATTGGTGGTTGTCTGTATTTGAATGCTGCAGCATTAGAAACCTCTTCGGATGTTCTTTGAACGTGTGCAGAAATAAAATGCGGAGGTGGAGCAGGACTGCGCCTGTTTCCATCAGTGTCTCCATCCTTACTGTTTCCAACCCTGCGTGTGGCATATTGAGCAGAAGATCTGAAGAGGGATCCTTTGCACATTTGGCGAACACACTTAGAATCCTTCCTGTGGTTAAGAGCCTCATGTAACCAGGGTTCCTGATTGTGGGGGTGATTATAAGCATGTTTAGCCAAACGTGAAAACTCTCCTTTCAGCCCTTCCTTCTGAATGAGCAAAGGTGGGATGTGGAGTCTGTGGAGATGGGGACTTGGAGGGTGGGTCTGGTGAATATGCTTCTGCTCGCTCTCCATGCATTATTCTCCCACACTTCTGAAGAATGCCTGGAGGCAGGGGTGACCTGAGGGGTTTCAGCACCTTAGGGGAAGCACCTCGTTGCCACCCCCATGATGGGGGGGCGGGCAAACTCCACAAGAGCTTCTGCCCCTCCTGGGCAGAAGGGGTGATTCCCCCCTCCCTGGCTTGGCTGCAAAACGGGGTGGCGGAACAACCCCCTTTTGCCAACTCAGCAGGAGGGGAGGTGTTCCACAGAGCTTTGCCACCAGTCCCTCTCTGCCCCAAGATTCGGGGAAACCAGCTGGGCAACAGAAAGTGGATGATGTCTTGGAGGGGTGCCACCAGACACAGCTGCCTCACCCTGCCTTATGGGTGGGCTGGCTCTGCCTGAATGAGACCAACATGCTCAATTTCCCTGCAGAACTAGGTAAAGGTAAAGGGACCCCTGACCATTAGGTCCAGTCGTGGCCGACTCTGGGGTTGCGCGCTCATTTCCACTTTATTGTCCGAGGGAGCCGGCGTACAGCTTCCAGGTCATGTGGCCAGCATGACTAAGCCGCTTCTGACGAACCAGAGCAGCGCACGGAAACGCCGTTTACCTTCCCGCCAGAGCAGTACCTATTTATCTACTTGCACTTTGACGTGCTTTCGAACTGCTAGGTTGGCAGGAGCAGGGACCGAGCAACGGGAGCTCACCCCGTGGCGGCGATTCGAACCGCTGACCTTCTGATCAGCAAGTCCTAGGCTCTGTGGTTTAACCCACAGCGCCACCTGCATCCCGCAGAACTAGGTAGACATAAGCAATATGGTTGATGATCTTCCTTCCTTAAAATATCCCTTTTTCTTTTTCAAAAAATAATAATGATTTTTAGTGACAACCTGATACTTACCTTAATGGTGAAAATGTTAGGATTTAATTGGCATCTACAGATGAGGAAATCACATTCCAGTTGTTTAAAATATTTTTGCCAGTGCTCATGGAATTCTTGCATTTCAAAATGTGTAGCTTTTTTATCCATATATTTTTTTGGTCAGTGTGCAGTAGTTAAACCCCAGTAGTAAATTATTCTCTGATTCTGGTAGTGCCACCCATATTGATTCTCTGAAGGAATCTGTCCCTTTTTGATTTCTAGTTAGTTGGACTCTGTGTCCTCTGATGCCACAACTGATGGAGCACTGGTAGTGTGAATCAGTGTGTGATTTTGGGTAGTCATGGACACCAGGGATAGGATTAAGGAGGCCGTTCAGTGGTTCCAAGGTGAAAGAGCTACATGCAGAAACTGTGTCTGAGAACAATTTTGGTAAACGGCAGTAAATAAAGTTGTCAGCTAAGCACGTTAAACAACAAAAATCATGTCTAAATAAACCTAAATAGGTTTAGCCCTTTTTAAGGGGGTGAAGATAGAGAATTTGGGGGACAGCACAGCTGATTTTGTAAGCTAATCTGCTGCTCCCTACATATGACCCCTGCAATTGCAATTTGAGACAGCAGTAGTGGTAAGGCCAGCCCTGCATGGAAGGCCAGAAAAAATATATAGATCTAGGCAGCCCATTTCTTCAAGAAGCACCACAGTTTGCTTGCACAACATGGCTAAGAATGGCGGATTTGAAATAGACCTCTAGGTTGCCAGATCTTGGGGGAAACAAAGGATGGAGTCCATCAGAGAGGAGAAACAGAAGAAGCGCCAGTGCAGGGGTGGAAAGGAGACACAAACTGTTAGACGCACAGGAAATTGATTTATTGGCCAATTTGATAAAGCTGTGGGTAATATCCCATGAAGCTGAAACTTCTTTGCTATTGTTTTTTTCTTCCATAGATTATGACTCTACTTCTGAATGGCCCTTCCTGTCTGAGTTGCAATGGCTAAGACGGAAAAGAAGGAGGAGAGCTGTGAGTGTTATCAGTAATGCTGTGTCAATCACACAATTTTCAAATAAGTGTATTTCTTCTGTGTTCCTGGCATAAGAGAAAAGAGGCAGAAGCTAAAATTATCTTACATTGGATATATAGCTGCACTCAAATTGATGATTTGCTGTTTCCTACCAGTAAAGATTGAAGAGACCCAGTGTACAGTCTGTATAATTGCATATTTTTGTGGGTTCAGAAAAACCCAGAAACAAGTAAACAAGTTTGAAAGATGCAAAAGAAAAGGAGGTGTGCGTACAGAGATCAAATTGAATTGTTATGCAAATCACTAATGATAGCATGAAATGGTGCACGAAAAGCTGGTGTAAAGAATGAAGAAAATTATAATTTCATCCTGAAATACTGCAAGCCCTCCTCTTTAAATAGTAGTTTGCTCAGGATTTGGGATAAATTCAAGGACTGAGTTAGCTAAATCACCATTTGCTGCTGGAATGTATGTTTTAGATTTTAATCTTAATATAGAATTAGAGCCTTTTACACCAGGGGTTGCCAATTTTGTGGGGACCAACAGGTGCATTGAAGTTTTAAGATCGTGCCACCAGTCTCAAAATGGCATAGCACAAAATGGCTGCTACGTCTGTAAGAGCAGAAAAAAGATAGGACCACAAAATGGTGTGGCCATGCACCTCCCATTGGCCTCTCCCATCAGTGGGTGAAAAGGCACCCACATCAGCCTCTACTGCACATGCTCACAGAAGGAAGCTTTTGTGCACCTTTTCTGCACCTCCCACATGATCAGAGCAGAAGGGAAGGTGGGTGTCTAATCCAGACATCCAGTGTAGTGTTGGTATGTTGAAGGGAGGGGTGTTCAGTGTAGGAGAGGCCGAGCCAGAGCAAACAGAAACTGAGCAGGAAGAGCAGCCTCTTGTGTAATGTGTATTTTTGAGAAGATACCTTCCACTGGGTGCCACTGAATGTACTGGTGGGCACACTGGCATGTGCGGATGCCACGTTGAAGACCCCTGTTTTGCACTGCCAGGCAGTAATGACTAAACACATGAAACTGCCTTATGCCTTATGAATGTCAGATCAACAGTACTACCCTGACTGGTATCTGATTCCAGGCAGAGCTCTTTCCCAGCTCTTAACAGTGGAAGCTGCTCTGTTAGGGCAATGCCCCATTAACCTGCCCTTCAGCTACCACTTGCCTGCCCTTTTACCTGCAACCAGCCCAGGGCAGGGGGTAGCCCTGGCTATCAGCTTCCTCCCCGATAGCCTTGGTGTTGCTCTTGTAGCAGGGGGAAGGATAGGGACAAAGCTAGAATCGGTTGGCTCTGCCAGTCATTTGCTCTGCCTCCACTAATTGTTGGCCCCTCTGCCTTTCCCCCTTACTAGTCCCAATGAGCACCAGCAACCACTGCCCACTGCCTTAGGTATTATTGACTGAAGATGCCAGGGACTAAGCTTGGGACTTTGTAATAAAGTTTAAGCTCCACTCCAATGGATATGATTTGTAAAATGGCCATGGAACAGATCAGAAGAACAAACATGCCAATGAAATGAATATATTATAGTAAGAAATGCTGTCATTAAAATATATAATCCTAAACCCTTGAGAGGTTTCAGTTGAATCAGGTTTAGGTCCACAGAACAGCATTGCATGGCAATTGATAAAGCAACCCTAAATTCATTTTTAAAAATCCAACTATAGCTTTTAAAATCCTTCAGGTTTCCCGTGGCATATTTGAAGAAATGAAATACTTGGAGCTCATGATTGTTAATGACTATAAAATGGTAAGCTGGCTGTATTAATTAATTCTATTGTTATCTAATTTAGTTACAATATGCCCTCTTTTTTACACTTATTGTCTGCTGCAAATGTTATTTACTGATACAACTTCCTCTATTTATTACAGTTACTGAAATCCTACCTTTCAGGAGGAGGGGTAGGAAAGAAATGATAAATGATGATAAATCCAATGTTTTGCTGTTGTTATCTTCATTTATTACCCATCCTTCGCCTTAAGACTCTAGGTGGCTCAGAACAATTTAAAGTGCAGCATTAAAAATAGTTTAAAACAAATTACAACCAGAAGAATATTGTTGATTCTAAAAATATACATCTTGGGCCAAGGAAAATAAGATAAATTGTCACCTTCCTGATTTATGTTCAGATTGCCCTGGCCCTGACCACCCATCAAATTTGGCACCTGAGACTGATCCTGATAAGGATCTGGCCTGTGAAGCCAAAAATGTTCCCTACCCCTTAAGGCCTACATAATTTAGTTATCATGTTCCATTTTAAACACTTTACTGATTTTATCTGTGTTTTAGTATGTATACTTGTTTTTTCACCGTACTGTGAATAATAGCTGCTTTTATCAATAATTTTATTATGTACACAGGTTATATAGTTTTGTGATTAAGTGGTACATAATTTTTTCCAAGTAATATATAAATCTGTTTTGATAGTCTGATTCACAGCCTCGCAATAGTATTGTTGCACTTAAAGGCGGAATTGAGAGCAAATGCAAAGGAGACATGGGACCACTAGCTCCAGGAATCAAATATATTTTCAAAGTGAAACTGATGGGGGAAAGTTGTTGCAGTTAACTATTTTATAGTAGTTCTCCCCCTTTTCTTCATGACACAAATGCTTGTGAATTCCATAAACGTTAGCAGTTCAAGAGGAAAACACTGATTAGCAGAGCCGCTGTTTGTTCTTTGCATTGCCAGGAGGCAAACCTCTTGATCAAATTATGATTTAACATTTTTCTTCTAGTTTAAAAAGCACCGATCATCCCATGCTTACACGAACAACTTCGCGAAATCTGTGGTAAATCTTGTGGACGCTGTAAGTATTGCAGTAATTGGTACAATTAATGCCTCATGATTCAACATTTGACTTTGCAGACGTTGGGATGAAAATAGTGGTGACAGAGGATGTAAACTTGCACAACCTTGGGAGCACGAACCAGTATATACCAATGGCAATCCTACTAATCCTTATGTAGCCAAAAGGGAGGTATCAGGAGGCCTGGAGGAACCTCTGTAGATCAATATAAAAAATTGGGCTGGGTGGGGGTGTCAAATACCCCAAAACAGTGAGGACTAGGTGTGATTAGTGTTCACAGAACTCTGACTGACTGGGTGTGTGGTGGTGGGGAGGCTACAACTAAAAACTAGGAAAGGAGAATGTAATAAAGTATCCTGGAAAACGTTTATGCAGGCCAAACGGAATAATGAATGGGAGAACTCCATGCTGCAGCATTTTGCTGCAGGTTCCACTTGTGACTTTTTAGTTCTCATTTTATTTACATCCTGCTGTATCATTAAACCAAAAAACATCGGTTTACAACAATATACGGTAAAACCAGAACCGAACAACAAAATTACAAAAAGTTAAAAGCAGAAACAAATTAAAAACGAAACATCAAAAGACCATTGTGGGGGATGTACCATATTTTTCCGTGTATAACACAACCTCATGTATAAGACGACCCCTATTTTTGGAAACCCTCAACAGTTGTTGAGCTTCTTTTGTAAGTTCACTGAGCTGTTGAGCAGCTTTTCGACGATCCCCTGCTCTGGCTGACGGAACTGGTGCTGTAATACACTGCATAATAATAATAATAATAATAATAATAATAATAATTTTTATTTATACCCAGCCCAGGCCGGGCTCAGGGCAGCTAACAAGCAATAATATAAACAAGTTGAATGAATACAACTTAAAAACAAGATTAAAATACAACATTAAAATATTGAAACATTAAAAAATTAAAATGCAGCCTCATCACTGGAGGAGAAAGGAAAAAGAAAAAAGAAAGAAGGGGAGGGAATCAGATTGGCTCCAAGCCAAAGGCCAGGTGGAACAACTCTGTCTTACAGGCTCTGCGGAAAGAAATCAGATCCTGCAGGGACCTGGTCTCATGAGGCAGAGCGTTCCACCAGGCCAGAGCCAGTGTTAAAAAGGCCCTGGCTCTGGTTGAAGCTAATCTAATTTCCTTAGGGCCCGGGACCTCTAGGGTGTTGCTATTTATTGACCTTGAGGCTCTACCGGGAGAGGCGGTCCCGTAGGTACGAGGGTCCTAGGCCGTGAAGGGCTAGGTCAAAACCAACACCTTAAATCTGACCCTGTACTCCACCAGGAGCCAGTGCATACTGGCACTCACCAAATATTCTTCCTAAGCCTGGAAGAGCGGGTAAGCAGCCTCCTCTCCATTTCCCTGCTACCGCCGCAGCACCAGCCCTCGCTTACTTAGCATATAAGACAACCCTCAATTTATCACAAAAAAAATCAGAAAAAAGGTTGTCTTATACATGGAAAAATACAGTACTCTTAATGGCAGAATAGAAAAGTTTTCAGCGGGCATTAAGAAGTTGCCACCCAAGACCAATTCAGTTCAATAAGTAGGTCACCAAACGTTATATGAGACGTCAACACATCATGCCCAGTTAAATCACCCGGGCCAAGACACAATCCAAAGAAACATGCGACAACAAACCTGAAGTGATGTGGAGCCTACTGTAATAATGGTGTCTGTGTATATAACACCTTGATTAACATAATTTTCTAAATATTGTTATGGTCTTCTGTTAAACTTAAGGTTAAATGCTGTGAGACCCCATGATATTAATAATTAGGGCCTCCTCCAGAATTCCACCCCGACTAACTGGATAAGTTTATGAAACTAAATGGCACACTAAAGTAAAATCTTATTTTTAAATGTACCCACAGACAAAGATAGGATTCCAGGACAAATACTTTACGTCTGCACCCTTGAACGTACACAGAGCAGTTTCCTCTTTGCCCCTCATCCCTTAACCAGGGGCAGATTTGCAGTAGAGTTGGGAAAAGTTGGGATGCCGTGGTGGTGCACAGACTACTATATATTGCATTCTACATTATTCCTCTGCAATACACCTCAGGGTTAGTTAGGGCAGCTTCCAGATTTGTACGGCAGGCAATAGTGTTGGACTTGTAGGAAGGAATATTGCTGTGCTCCCGCTCCCCTGAACTTTCCAAGCTCTGAACGTCCAATCTCACTGAACTTTCCCTTGTTGTTTGTATCAGAGCTTAGCGAGCACTCTGCTGAGCCAAGGAAGGATTCCGGCTTGAGCAGCATATAGTTGCACTCCTCTTCCTCCGCCTCTTCCCAAAATGAGCTGTGGGGCTTTACACAGCATGTCCCACATCATACTGTAGGAACTAAATCAGTTAGGGAACCTCCAGCCTGCAGACCTGTTTGGGCCAGCCAGCACTTGGGCTCACAAGAATGCTTGCGCCAACCCGTGTCTACCTTCCCTGCATCTGATGTCATCTGAGGGGCAAGTAAGGGGTTGTGCCCAAAGGATACTACCAATTGGCAGTGCCTTCAAAGCCTCTTCTGCACCACTTCCCAAGTGCCTTGCAACCAGTGCTTCAGAAGCACTGCAGAAAGCGCTTTGCAATCCCCACGCTCAGGGATCAGCTAGTTGTCAGGCATTTGAGAAGCGCTGCACAAAGTACCGTATTTTTAAATGAAGGGGAAATATGTGTGCATCCTGTGGAGCGAATGCAGGCTCCTTGGCTTCAGCGATAGCAACGCAAAGCCTCCGAAGCGCAGAGGGACAGCTCCCCCCACACTCCGGAGGCTTCGCGTTGCTTTCTCTGAAGCCCCCGGAGGGCAGGGAACGCCCGCTGTGCTCCGGGAGCTTCAGGCAGCTATCTGCAAGCTTTCGGAGCGCAGCAGGAGTTCCCACCGTGCTCCAAAGGCTTGCGGATAGCCGCCTGAAGCCTGGAGAGCGAGAGGGGTCGGTGCACACCAATCCCTCTTGCTCTCCAGGCTTCGCTTCGCTGGAGAGGCGCTGCACAGTTTTCCCTCTCTGCGCAGCGCCCCTTCAGTGAAGCGGGAGGAGAAATGGAAGGGGCTCTGTTTCTCCTGCCGCTTCGCTAAAGGGGCGCTGAGCAGAGAGGGGGAGAATTTTTTCCCCCCTGTTCTCCCCCTCCTATGGTCCGGTGCATCCTATGGTCCGGTGCATCCTATAGAGTGAAAAATACGGTACTTTGCAAGTCTTATGCTCAGTACTTCCCAAGCTTAGGACAGGTAGGGTTGGTGAAAGATGAAGAACTAGTGCAGTAAATAAGATGACTCTACGTAATCATTTGCAGTGTTGAATTTAGTGCAATGTTGATTCTTTTAAAGGAGACTGGAGGTGTATTGGCTAATTGTATTCCAATCTTTCCCTCCTGCTTTACCCCTTTTGTCCTTCCACTGACTCTGACTGGCTAACTGTGCACGTTTTGACCCAGTGTTCTACTCCTGTGCCTGTCCTGTATCTGCCCACAGATTTACAAGGAGCAGCTGAATACCAGGGTTGTTTTGGTTGCTGTTGAAACCTGGTCGGACAGAGATCGTATAAATGTCCACCCTGACCCAAGACAGATGCTTCATGATTTTTCCAAATATCGACAGAATTTCATCAAGCAGCGTGCGGATGCTGTACACCTTCTCTCGTATGTAGCGCAAGCTCTGTTTGGTACATGGTCTCTCTTTCCTGAAGGCCTCTTTTTCTAGTTCTTATTCTGTCTGCTTATTTATATCTCATAGGTATATCTTAAATGTTGCTTCTTTTAGGTATTTTATTATTATAATTTTAAAAAAATACAGAATGCAGTGGAATCGTTTTTATCCTCTCCTTACTGTTGTCTGAAAGAGGAGAAGCCACTGTAGTTCAACAGTAAAACACATGCTTTGCATGGGGAAAAAATCCAGGCTTGGACTTTGACATTTCTTGCTAGGGCCGTAATGGAAATGAAATTCCTATTAATTTACATGTGACAAATAAGAAGATATTTGAAGGGCATCGTATATATGGGAGATAACGCTTTTTAATATTGCTTCGTTTATCTTGTTCTTCAGGAATGTGACATTTCATTACAAAAGAAGCAGCCTGAGCTATTTTGGAGGAATTTGTTCTGTGTCTAGAGGTGTTGGAGTAAATGAGGTAACATTTCTCTTTTGGAGGTCTTGTGAGGAAGGAAAAATTTATGAAATAATTCCCTCAACATATATCTTCTTTTTAAACGGTGCTTCTCATCATATGTTCAAAAATTTCAGATTTTTTTCATAGATATTCCTGAAAGTCTCAAGCCTGAAATGCAGTCGACTGAAAATAATTTGACCTTTTATTCTAGTGTCAGCTTAGCATAGAACACTTGAATACAGGCTGAAGGCAGCCATATCTCACCGTGAGGTACACATGACAAACCCTCTATGAGAGGTGAATTAGTTCTCTTTATAATGCTATTCATTAGAAAAAAAGAAAGGAAATCTTCAAACATTTAAGGGTCCAGTACACTACTGATAAAGTGGCATGCTTTGGGTAAAGTCTGTGTTGTGGATATTTGCAAAACTGTAAGCTTTGATTTCTGTCAATTAGTTCAATACAGTGGTACCTCTGGTTATGTACTTAATTCGTTCCAGAGGTCCGTTCTTAACCTGAAACTGTTCTTAACCTGAAGCACCACTTTAGCTAATGGGGCCTCCCACTGCTGCTGTGCCACTGCCATACGATTTCTGTTCTCATCCTGAAGCAAAGTTCTTAAGTTCTGTTTCTGGGTTAGCGGAATCTGTAACCCGAAGCGTATGTAACCTGAGGTGTATGTAACCCGAGGTACCACTGTATCAGTTGTTGTGCTTGGAACTTAGGTTTTAAGAAAGATTCCGGAATTCGAATTTCTCTAATGCGTTAGGCCTTTTGGACCATGCTGTCTCCTAGATTCCTCATATTGGAATCAAAATGGCCATTGAGGCATTAGGTAAATACTTCTTCTCATGCAAGGCATCGTACCTGTTTTAGCTGTTTCTGCCCTACGTGCTGGAGCCCTCTGTGTTATATCCCATATTGTTCTGGGGGGGATCCCCCAAACCTAATAAGCAGCCTTTCAGGTAGCTTGGGGGAAGGCCTGCAGCGAATAGGATGAATCCATGGAAATGAGGTGTCCATCCTTCCATTTCCTTATTGCCTCCATTGAACGGAACCGCACGTTTCTGTTTTGATTTCTTCAAGTCAGTGCACCCAAATGGTTGCGTCGAAGTGTCGTTTGACTGCAGTTGGAAATCGAAAGATACTTTGGTTGGCCTGCAACTAAGTGTGAAATAACCTTAAAAGAGTCCTCTGCACATACAAAATTTGTTGCTGTTTTTTGAAAGCTCTACGCCAAAGGTGGGGGACCTGAGATGTTGTTGAGCTACAACTCCCAACACCCCGTCATTGTGCATTCTGGCTAGGGCTGAAGTTGAGAGTTGCCAACTTGTAACCCTTCAGATATTGTAGATGTCAGGAAAATTGTCTAGAGCAAAGCTTTCCAAACTTGTCATGTTGGTGGCATGCATCATTTAGACATGCATTATTTCACAATACAGTAAAGGGTAAAGGGACCCCTGACCATTAGGTCCAGTCGTGACCAACTCTGGGGTTGCAGCGCTCATCTCGCTTTATTGGCCGAGGGAGCCGGCGTACAGCTTCCGGGTCATGTGGCCAGCATGCCTAAGCCGCTTCTGGCGAACCAGAGCAGCACACGGAAACGCCGTTTACCTTCCCGCCGGAGCGGTACCTATTTATCTACTTGCACTTTGACGTGCTTTTGAACTGCTAGGTTGGCAGGAGCTGGGACCGAGCAACGGGAGATCACCCCGTTGTGGGGATTCGAACCACGACCTTCTGATTGGCAAGCCCTAGGCTCTGTGGTTTAACCCATAGCGCCACCCGCGTCCTTCACAATACAGTTTCAGTTTTACTAGCAAACCTGAGGAGCATAGGGAACACCTACACACTGCAGCTGACACACTAATGCGTTGCGACACACGGTTTGGAAAGCTGTGGTCTGGAGTTTTATTTATGCATGAATTTGGGGTATTCTCGCACACAATAATGAATCTCCCTATCCTATATGATGTCAGTTTTTGTGGTGAGTTATTGAGGGCTGCATAAATAAAAGTTATTCACAAGGTAACTATGTAGCATATGTTATACTGACATTACTGCTTCCAAGTGAAATCTCTGGCCATTAGCTGCCATGGCAACAAATCACCTGCACAGTACTTGACCAACCCTTTAGTTATGCAAAGGGCCATTCTCTGAACAAAAGAGAATGTACCAGGATATCTATTTTAACAAGTAGAGAGTTATCTACTTCATAAAAGGCTGTCTACTTGTAAAAAAAGGAAAGAAAATGTAGAGTACGATTCTTTAAAGTGTAATGAAGACTGTAAGTGTTAGGAACAGCACAAAAACAGTTAAATGTATAATTCACTACATGAGCAAAAAATGGGGGAAATCATTTTTGCATGCAGAATGGGACAAAAGGGTGCAGAGAGTTGAGGCTTTATGCAAGACAGTGAAGTGGGGATTTACAATGCCTAAACATATGTTTCCACATCCCTTCTCTGCACTATAGCTTTAAGCTGGCTTTACTTATATGAATGGACCAGCTCCAAAATATCTTATCATACTGTGTGTCAACATTGCTGTTATTTTTTAGACTCTTGTATTCATTTTGTGAAAATAATTATTTGCTATCTTTTGGAGGTGTCACTAATAAAACTGGACCCAAACATTTTTCATTTCCAGAAGTAGGTGTTCCTGTTGTTTAAGTGTACATGTAGTGAAGAGTTTGAGGATACAATCCTAAACACACCTGGAAATAATTCGGATTAGTGAGATGTTTCCACTGTTTTAGGGTCTGAATTCTGTACAGAATAACTAGTTAAGCAAACACTTTCTCCTAGAAATTGCAATAATTGATAGCACTTTGGTGTGCTCTCTACCTGAATCTCCTTTTCCAACAGTATGGCCTACCCTGGGCGATGGCACAAGAACTATCCCAAAGTCTGGCTCAGAATTTAGGAATACAGTGGGAGCCAGGGGCCAGAAAACCAAGTAGGTATTTGGCATACAATCTCTTTTGTTTTTATGTACAAATTGAATTCATAAAACTTCTACATATTTTGGACTTTTTATTATGTATAAACAGGGGTCAGCAAACTTTTTCAGGAGGGGGCCGGTTCACTGTCCCTCAGACCTTGTGGGGGGCCGGACCCACCCCCTCCCAAAAGCCCCCCCCCCCCGCTGATGCCACTCAGGCTGCAGACGCCAACGCCGCCTCGTCTTCGGCAGCATCAGCGTCCTCTGTCTCGGCGGGGCGCAGCGCCTCTGCGCCGCTGCCTCTTCCTTCCACTTGGCCACCTCAGCAGGAATGAAGGGGTGGTGCCCAGAGGCGTCCACAGCTTCTGATTGGCTGCAGGAGCTTCCTGCAGCCAATCAGAAGCCATGCCAGTGTCGCCGCCTGCCCAGAGGCATCCGCAGCTTTTGATTGGCTGCAGGAGCTTCCTGCAGCCAATCAGAAGCCATGCCATGCTGCAGAAGTCAGTCTCCGCGCGGCGAGGCCTCCATGCCTGTTTAGTGCGGAGACTGACTGAGCGGGCGGCAGGGTCTGTAAGGTTTGCGGGCCAGATTAACGAGTGTGGTGGGCCATATCCGGCCCGTGGGCCTTAGTTTACCAACCTCTGTGTATAAATAAAGGATTGGGCCGCAATAGCTATTCTGTCCTTTCCTTGCCATTCCAGTACCAATCCTCTTCTGGGGTTTGTTGGACTCTATGCAAACGCCTGGGATGTGGTGTGCTGAGGTGTGGTGCAGAGGGGAAGGAGATCAACCAAAATCAGATGGAGGCACCTTGCGCAAGCAGACTTTTTACTTGTGCAACTCTGTTCAACACATAAAGTTCATATTAAAGGTTCTGGAATGACCATTCGTGTAGCAAATGAGGCTTCCACCCATTGCGGTGTTGTAAAACAATGCATTTTATAACCAGCTGCTAATTAATTTTTTGTTGTTATGGAGTAAGGAGATGCTATGACTTTATTGACTTTATTATTTTGATGAACTTGTTTGTTTCATATGCTGTTGTGTTTGATGTTACAGTGATTGCAGGGTTGGTTGTTTTTTAATGGTATCATGATTATTGCAAGCCGCTTTGAGCTAAGCCTTTGTTGTTTGAAAAGTGGAATACAAATATTAAATGAATGTAAATCAACTAACATATGTCCTTGGTTGAGGCTTGCCGTGGCTTACTCTTGCTCATTCATGTTGTGATAAACTACCATTTACTGTGACATGCAAATGTGGGCACTGGCCTTGAACTGACACATAATAACTTGAGCGTACACTCAGAGGGTAGAGAGCTCAAACTGCATTCAAGCTGGCAAAGGAACGATAGAGACTAGAAAAGAAATGATCTCTGCTGGATTTTGTTAATGAACCTCTAATGGAAAACAGCAGCTACAGTGGTGCCTTGCAAGACGAAATTAATCCGTTCCGCGAGTCTCTTCGTCTTGCGGTTTTTTCGTCTTGCGAAGCATGGCTATTAGCGGCTTAGCGGCTATTAGTGGCTTAGCGGCTATTAACGGCTTAGCGGCTATTAACGGCTTAGCGGCTTTAAGAAAAAGGAAACAAACTCGCAAGAACTCTGACGAAACGTCTTGCGAAGCAAGCCCATAGGGAAATTCGTCTTGCGGAACGACTCAAAAAACGGAAAACTCTTTCGTCTAGCGAGTTTTTCATCTTGCGAGGCATTCGTCTTGCGGGGCACCACTGTATTTTCTACTAGGGGTACTTTATCCTAAAACATATCTTTATTTGGTCATGCAGTGCTTGCTGTATTCAACACTTCAGACAGATACGGGAGCGAAAATGCTTCTTAACCACCCTCCTCTCTTTTACGCGAAGGGTTTATTTTTTATTACTCATATATATTTTTAACTACTTTCATTCTTGGTTTTGCATTTTTCATTTTGTTTCAGAAGGATGTGAGTGCACAGAATCCTGGGGTGGATGCATCATGGAGGAAACAGGGTGAGTTGTAATAATTGGTACCTTTTACAGATTTTGTTTCCCCCCCGGTTCTTCAGAACTAAAATAAGCAGTCTATGTTTAGACTCGTTTCTGGGCTGCATGCAGCATAGCAAGAATTATTTACAGGGCTTGGTAAGACATAAACGGGACCGCCTCTCCCGGTATGCCCCATGGAGAGCCTCAAGGTCCATAAATAGCAACACCCTAGAGGTCCCGGGCCCTAAGGAAGTTAGATTAGCTTCAACCAGAGCCAGGGCCTTTTCAGCACTGGCTCCGGCCTGGTGGAACGCTCTGCCTCATGAGACCAGGGTCCTGCAGGATCTGATTTCTTTCCACAGGGCCTGTAAGACAGAGTTGTTCCTCCTGGCCTTTGGCTTGGAGCAAATTTGATTCCCTCCCCCTCTTTCTTTTTCCTTTTCCTTTCTCCTTCTGCGATGAGGTTTCAATATTTTAATGTTGTATTTAGTTTTGTTTTTAAGTTGTATTCATTCAATTTGTTTTTATTATTGCTTGTTAGCCCCCCTGAGCCCGGCCTTGGCTGGGGAGGGCGGGGTATAAATAAAAATTATTATTATTATTATTATTATTATTATTATTATTATTATAAACCATGGCTTAACATCAGTGAACAGCAAACTAGTGCATCCTGCTCAATCATCCCCACTTTGCTGATATCCTAGCATGAGCAGCAGACTACGAACCTGGGAGTACCATGTCATCCCAACTGAGATTATGGTTTGTTTCTCCCTAAACACACAACAGTCAGCAAGCAAGCAAAGAATGTGGTTTATCTAGTGTTTGTCCAGTAAATTATTTACTGTGAAGCATTTTCCTCATTCTTTTTTTCTGTTTCTTTTTCGGCCTTTCAGTGTCTACCACCCCAGAAAATTCTCAAGGTGCAGCATTGCAGAATACAAAGATTTTTTGCTCCGAGGGGGAGGTTCCTGTCTTTTCAACAAGCCAACAAAGGTACATTGATTTAGGGTGGAACTGGATCCCAGCATAATTTATCCCTTTGGGGAGAAAAGTGGCTTAGGGATGGGAGCAATTTTACATGGTTAGGAAAGGGTTAAGGAGTGAAAGCTGGCCCATAAAGAAGGCTGATCGCTGAAGAATTGATGCTTTTGAATTATTGTGCTGAAGGAGACTCTTGAGAGTCCCATGGACTGCAAGAAGATCAAACCTCTCCATTCTGAAGGAAATCAGCCCTGAGTGCTCACTGGAAGGACAGATTCTGAAGCTGAGGCTCCAATACTCTGGCCACCTCATGAGAAGAGAAGACTCCCTGGAAAAGACCCTGATGTTGGGAAAGATGGAGGGCACAAGGAGAAGGGGAGGACAGAGGACGAGATGGTTGGACAGTGTTCTCAAAGCTACCAGCATGAGTTTGACCAAACTGCGGGAGGCAGTGGAAGACAGGAGTGCCTGGCGTGCTCTGGTCCAGGGGGTCACGAAGAGTCGGACACGACTAAGCGACTGAACAACAACAAGGAGCTCGCCCTCCACTGGCGTCTTATTTAATTTGAAGACATTTGTCACTGAAATGCTGGAGCTGGGGGGTCTGCATCTCCACCAGAGGTCTGGTGGAGCTTTGTCACCATGCTGGTTTATAGCGGCCGTGTGCAGTCATGCAGGTGCAAAAAAAATATTTTTTATATTGATGGATTGAATTTAGATACTGCCCTATACCCTGAGGTCTCAGGGCAGTTCACAGAATAATTCAGTATGCGCCTGAATCATTTAATGATAAACAGTTGTGATCTTTTAAATAATAGTGCTTTGTGTATTTGTGTTTTTCAGTTGTTTGACACCACTGAATGTGGAAATGGGTATGTGGAACCAGGAGAAGATTGTGATTGTGGTTTCCAAACGGTACCATTTTTTATACACATATACCCAGTTATTTTATTCTTCCTATCCATAAGATGAAGTGTCCCTTAAAATGAAAGCTCAGATAATGCTTGCTTAACCATGAGGCTCATGGTGTATATTTTAACTACTGTAGCAAAATAATTGAGTCAGTGGACCCTTATAAAAAGGAAATCATTCTTTCAGTGAGAAATTCATAAAAGAATTTTTAAGCTCCATGTTGTTTAAAACCTTGAGTTGTTCACCTTAATCGGACCATTTGAATCCAGAATGCTAAATAAAACGTATGCGTTAAAGTTAATTATTATAGTTATTTTCTTCTTTATTCTTACTTTAGTATATAAGATTCCTTGCACTGGATCGCGGCGTAGTTTTATGGTGCAACCATATATGAACACTGTCAATTTATCATTTTAGTCAATACATGATTGAATTGTTTGTATGATTGTTCGAGGTAGCTAACTTTGATTTTTAGTATTGATTGATTGATCAGAATGTGTTTTCCGCAGGATTGCAAAGCAGATCTGTGCTGTAAGAAATGCTCACTTTCTAATGGAGCTCATTGCAGTAATGGTCCATGTTGTAATGAAACCTCCTGTCTTGTGAGTTTGTTTTTTAAAAACTTTTTTACCTTTGCTAGAAATATGGGCTAAACCGCCCTCTCTATGTGCTGCAATTGGCCGAAGCTAATTTAAGAGACTTTTAATGGGGCTCAGTAGCTGATACCATGATAAAACATCAGTATACAGTGAATTGATAACTACATATCATAAGCAATGATAGTGAAGCATCTGATAAATTATGTTTACAATGTTCTCTCAAAGCTCTTTACATTGGACACCTCTGTTGTATAAAAGTATACACTGATAGAATACTACAAATGCTCTTATTCTGCTTTCCTGTTCTTTGTTATTAGTAACACAAAAAACATTAATTGCTCTTCTCCTGGTTTCAAGATACAGAGGGAAGAGAAAGCTGAGTGTAGTCAGATGTGCATTCTGGACTTTAAGAACGCCAAAAAGCTTAAAAGTGAGATTCCATGGTCAGAAATACTCAAAGAGAAGGGAGTCCAAGATGGATGGGAGTTTCTTAAAGGTGGAATTTCAAAGGCCTAAATGCAGACAGTTCCAACAAGAAAGAAAAGTGGGAGGCATCTAAAGAAACCAGTGATTCTAAGCATAAGGAGCTTAGAGATACGAACTGAGATTTAAGAAGGCCATTATTAGAAATGGAAGAAAGGGGAAATCACAAAGGAGGAGTATACACAAATAGTCAACAGTTGCAGGCTGTCAGGTGGGCCAGAGCTCATAATGAGCTCAGCCTTGCAAGAGAGGTTAAAAATAATAATAAAGGTTGATTCGGCTATGTTCGGAGCAAGAGGAAGAACAAGTGGTAGGTACTCTGCGTGGAGAAGGTGAAGAAATGCCATTGGGTGACAGAGAGAAGGCAGAATGAAAAATGACTTCTCCGAGTCCACCCCCTGTCTCTTCCTCCTCTGGGGGATGGCAGGAATCACTCTGGGCACTGTACCCTTCACAGCCACTCAGGCCCAGGATCGGTGTCTGAGATGAGAGCATAGAATCAATTTTTGCAGCTCCAATGACACAGCGCTGCTTCCTGACAGTCCTGTTTCTGTGATTCACAGGGAATGTCTCTTGCAATGGGCGATTTTTCTCCTAGGGGCACCCCTCCTGTGTTGCTGCTCCAGCACAGTCCACTCAGCTCTACTGAGAAACTCTGCATCTTGTCCAGTGGTTTGAAGTGTGGCTAAGCAGCCCTCAAGCTACTGTACCTTCTCTTCCATCAAGACAGCCAGTTTGCACTTGCTACAAGTGTACTTTTGCACGTTCTCCAGCAGGAAGACGAACATGGCAGCTCTCTCAGCCTCCATGTCTTTTGGTCTTGTGCACACTATGAGACCGCCTGACCGCCCCCGAAACTCTCTGCTAAATGCCCTCGCAAACACCCCCGTTCACGAGCTCCTGGTCATGAACCCCCAGCAGCTGCAATGAGCTAAGTCTAACTTGCTGGCTGCTAAACTGCCCCTGACTTCTTTACACAGAAACAGCCATGGAGGCTGTCATTGAGAGCAGAGGAGTGATGCTAAGAGGGGCTGCTTAATCTCTTCCTTTCTTGTCACTTTTCCAGTCAAAATCAACACCTCTCTCCCACCCCACCCTGAATCAATTTGCCTTCTCACCAGTGGGGTAAAAAACGCATTCCTGTATTTAATCATTATTCCTACTCATTAAAGAAAAGCTATGCATGCTTGGAGTGATTTTTATTTAAGCCATCTTAGTTATCAATAAAAAATCTTCTGACTTCCAGTTCTTTCCCCGAGGCTTCGTATGTCGCTCTCCAGTGAATGAGTGTGATATTACAGAGATCTGTCCTGGGGACTCTGGCCAGGTAATTAAGTTAGATGCTTTCCATACTACCTTGTAAAACAGTGAAATCATTATTATTATTATTTTCATGAGGACTGTAAGATTCTTTCAGTGAGAGGGAGATGTGGAGAAGATTAATTTATTATTATCTAATTTATTATTGTGCATTCCTAAAACCTAGCCTGAATTGTGTTTTCCTAAAAGGAAACTCAGGCATCTTTGTACATCTTTGCTCGTGTGTGTGTGTGTGCTCAGTGAATTATCAAATAAAGAAATGTCAGGGCAATTAATTGTAAGATAATTAATCAATTAAAGATGCACAGACATGCTTACCCCCATTTTTCTCTGATGTAACATTTTATTTTACTTTATTTTATTTTAAAAGAGGCATTCATTTTTGTGCGAAAGAGAGGGCAGATGCTTCAAAAATGATATGTGCAGTTTTATAGTTTATACTCATGCTAAAGATAATTAAGCATTTTAAAAATCTGCTGCCTAGTTAATCATGGGTGTCTTTTCAATCCATTTAATCTAACCAATTAAGCAACCAAATGTTGCAGCCAACCTCAGTATTCATAACATTTTGTTTAATTGCTCTCTCTTGGTATTCTTTTGTCTGCCTATATACCAAATGTGTTGTCTTATAATTCAAACCTTTTTAATTAAATGATCCCTTTCATCCTTCAGTGCCCACCAAATCTTCATAAGCAAGATGGGTTTGCTTGTGATGCAAATCAGGTAAGTAAGTCTTTAAAATATATAGTACAGAATATTTATTTTTTGCCAGGCTATATTTTTTATCTCTTGGTCTTTTTATTTACTATTTGCTATTTGCTTCATTTATTGTTTTTATGTTGTCTTAATTGTTGTGAGGCTTCTAGCCACTTTATGTTTTTTTTAAAAAGGGAAGTTTTTAATGTTTTATGTTTTGCTGTGTTTGATGTTTTAATTTATTGCAAGCCAGCCAGAGTAGCAGGGGCAACCCAGTCAGATGGGTGGTATATAAATAAATTATTATTTTCATTATTAAAGAAGAAAACTCAAACTACAAAGTCTTTAGATAAAGAGTACATGTAAAATTCATGCTGTTCATTAACTCGTCCTGTTCATTTTCTTAATGGTTGCCCCTGATGGCTAAGTTGTGAGTTGGAGCTGACTCCCTTAAAATTATTTTGACCCCTCAGTACCCCTAACAATTGGGCAATTTAAAATAATTGGGTGTTGCTGTTGTGGTGTTGTGACATCTCTGCTGTAGAGCTATTATGAAGGGCCTTCTAAAACTCAGCCACCTCTGCCACCTTGCACCTTTGTCACCTTGTGAAGTCCTCCACTAACCGTCTTCCGCAGTTGTGGTGCCACTGCAAGGTTTTGTGGCTCAGAAAACAGGAAGGAGCACTCCTCTCTGTTTCCTGATCTCCAGCACCATTTTGCCAGGCTCCAAGGCACAGGGAGAAGAGGCTGCTTTGCAAGGTGAGTGGGAGGGCTTTTCTCTGGGATAGAAAGCAGAACGGTAGGGGGGCAGACTGCCTTGAGTGTGTGCATTGCCAATCTCTCTGTGTGTGTCTGCCCCCCTGCCTGTGCGTATGTTTCTGAATGTGTGTGTTCTGTATGAGTGTACAAGGCAGTGTGTGTTGGCCAGTTTTGCAATGCCCACAGCTGACCTACGGGCCTTAAAGAGTTGGACAGTCCTGAGCACGTGGCTCTTGGGCTGAAACAGTTTGGCCACCCCTGCAATAGCTCAGCCTGCATATATACTGTATTTTTCGCTCTATAAGACGCACATTTTCCCCTCCAAAAATTAAGGGGGAATGTGTGTGCATCTTATGGAGTGAATGCAGGCTCTTTGGCTTCAGCGATAGCAACGCGAAGCCTCCGAAGTGCAGTGGGAGCGCTCCCGCCGCGCTCCAGAGGCTTTGCGTTGCTTTCGCTGAAGCCTGGCGAGCAAGAGGGGTCGGTGCGCACTGACCCCTCTCACTCTCCGGGCCTGAAACCTCCAGAGGCTTCAGGTTCCTTTCGCTGAAGGGTAGGTGCCCCTTCAGCTAAGGCGCAGCACCCCTTCAGCTAAGCGGGAGGAGAAATGGAAAGGGCTCCGTTTCTCCTGCCGCTTCGCTGAAGGGGCGCTGCGCAGAGAGGGGGAGAATTTTTTTTCTTGTTCTCCCCCTCTAAAACAAGGTGGGTCCTATGGTCAGGTGCATCCTATAGAGCGAAAAATACGGTAACCCACCCTCAGCATTTAAGGAATCAGATTCTAACCTGCACTCAGTGTCTTCTAGGTGTGCTTCATTACGCCTGGAATGATCTCTCTCGCAACATTCTCTCCCTGCCCTTCGAATCCCTCATAACTTATAAACGTTAGACAATAGCAAAATGACCATTCTGAGGTTGTTGGATACTGGTATCTGTGCAGCATCTGTCAATGGGGAAACAATCCAAATTTTCGCATGTTAAGATTTTATAGTGCTGTGGGTTAAACCACAGAGCCTAGGACTTGCCGATCAGAAGGTTGGCAGTTCGAATCCCTGTGATGGGGTGCGCTCCCATTGCTTGGTCCCTGCTCCTGCCAGCCTAGCAGTTCGAAAGCATATGAAAGTTCAAGTAGATAAATAGGTACCGCTCCAAAGGGCATTTCCGTGCGCTGCTCTGGTTCGCCAGAAAGTGGCTTAGTCATGCTGGCCACATGACCCGGAAGCTGTCTGCAGACAAACGCCAGCTCCCTCGGCCAATAAAGCGAGATGAGCGCCACAACCCCAGAGTCGGTCACGACTGGACCTAATGGTCAGGGGTCCCTTTACCTTTACCTTTACTCTGAAGAAGTGGCTCTCCCACTGGGAACCATCAAATTGTAGGGTTTGGAAGGGGCCCTGAGGGGCATCCCGTCTCAGCCCACTGCAATGCAGGAATCTCCTACATGGAATATGGAGCAGTATTGACTTACGTTTCCTAAAGAGACTGACCCAGGAAACTGCTCCGAGCGTTCCCTTTGGTAACAGAGCAGCGGTGAAAAAGGGGAAAAGGAAAAAAAAGTATGTCTGTTGCTGATAAAATAGGTCAGCTTTTTCTTGTCCCTGTCTGAAAGACAAAATGTATATTAATTGCGGTTTGTTTCTATTTAGGGTCGTTGCTACAATGGAGAATGCAAGACGAGAGATAATCAGTGCAAATACATCTGGGGAGCGAGTAGGTTGATTTAAGTATGCTGTATTCAGATGCAATTATTTCTTGTTTTTGCTGCCTGCTTTTCCCTTTGGTATAATTTTTCAATTAAAATTGTGCTTTTCAGTAATAAAAGGTAATGTTCAGAAAAGTAATTTTTGTAGTTTTTAATACACATGCATACACACACACACACACACACACACACACACACACTTCTTGTTGTTTAGTCGTGTCCGACTCTTCGTGACCCCCTGGACCAGAGCATGCCAGGCACTCCTGTCTTCCACTGCCTCCCGCAGTTTGGTCAGACTCATGTTTGTAGCTTCGAGAACACTGTCCAACTATCTCTTCCTCTGTCATCCCCTTCTCCTTGTGTCCTCGATCTTTCCCAACACCAGGGTCTTTTCCAGGGAGTCTTCTCTTCTCACGAGGTGGCCAAAGTATTGGAGCCTCAGCTTCAGGATCTGTCCTTCCTTTCCTCTATTTAAGTTTTCTTAGGACAGGAAAGGCCTGTATCCATCTGCATTCTAGAGCCATCATGGTACTTATGGCCACATTCCATATATATGAGAGACAGGCCTTTCCTGTCCTAAGAAAAGTTAAATAGAGGCAAGTCTGCTGCCTCCTCCTTTCTCTGGAGTCCTCTCAAAAGCCACTCTGTTTGGAGCCAAGAGACCCACCTGAATAATGTTGGGCGCAGTACTTGGGCTGTTAGCAGGAGAAGACAGTAGGAAAAAGTTTCCCTTCATAAACTTCCTCAAATAATCTTAGGCTCTAAACCCAATTTTTTTTGTGATTCTCCACTTCTGCAGCAGCCCAGTGTTCCATTCTACAGTTTTCAGGACGCTCCCTTGACCTTCCTCCGCCCAAGAAGCTTATCTTGGAGTAAGGAAGAGGGGAAGTTTTATTTCTGTAACTTTCTTAACTTAACCTTAGGATCTTTCTTCTTACTCATTTTTCACAATGTAATTTAATAAACTTTCAATGTACCGTCACTATGCATCACATGCTTTCCACTATGTGGTGGTAAAAAAATAACCTCCAAGTTCCTGGTGCATGTATTTATTTATTTTTATCAAGTACGTGATTCAGAAAGCGATTTTCAGACACACACGTTACGTTTGTAACATGCAAAGCATTTAGGACATTCACCTTTAAAAAGTAATGCTAGCAACCTCAGCAGTTCCTATTCTCTTGGCTACTTTTTAACAGAAGAAAATTTTGCTTGCCTGGGTATGTTAGTAGAAATTACTTTCACTTTTTCTTCCATAGAGGCTTCAGGATCTCATAAACACTGTTACGAGAAGCTAAACACAGAAGGCACGAAAAAGGGAAACTGTGGAAAGGATGGAGAGAAATGGATTCCATGCAACAAGCAGTAAGTTTAACCTTTTAGAATGAATATAAACGTCGTGGTTAGAAATTCCAATTAATGTTTTGTTTTTCTGAAATAAGAAACCTGCCTGAGTTCCTTTAGGAGGAAGGGTGAGATATAAGTTCAATAAATATGCAATAAAAGTTTCTGTAGAGAATTTAAACACATTTAGGATACAAGGCACTGTCTGTTGTGCTCAGCAGGGTCCTGAATTTCACAGCCCATTCCTCCATCTGATGCAGAGCTCATATTGTCTTTTAGTTATTTTCATTGCTTAGAAACACTTTGACCTGCTTTGTGTCACTACTCTCTACTATGCTGTGATCTCCTTTTAAAATTCTTTTACATTATGTAATCTGAATAGGAAAGGAGCTGGCTTCCTCCCAATGGCCCTAACAGTCTTTCAGGCAAAATCTTTAGCCCAACTTCTATATGGCTCTCAAATTAGCCCCTCTGCCAACCTTAAGACCCTTGAAACAGTACAATCTAAATTCTTAAGATCATTATTTGCTACCCCTAAGTGTACACCTAATGCAGTCTTAAGGCAAGAGGCAGGACTGCCCAGAGTGGAATTAAAAGTCTGGGAACAAGCAATATCCCTCTGGCTGAAAATCCATTACAATCCTAAGGGTCTATTACCTTGCTTCCTGGCCGCAGTTCCCTATCCTCCTTGGCTTATGCAAATAACTAACAAGATCAAACAAATTGGCCTAAACCCTGAAAATATTTTTATTGGAACTCTGAACAAGGCAAAAGCTACTATTACTCGGAGACTTTATGATATCGAATTACAACAAGAAGGCGCCCTACTCCCAGAGACGTATAGATGTTTAAAAGCTTGGCCTAATTTTACAGCTGCCCCTTACTTAACCAACATCACTAGCGAAGCCTATAGATGGGCTTTCTAGAGCCCGCTTTGAGACAATGCCCTCAGCAGTGCTGTACGGCAAATTCACGCGGGTTCCAATGCATGCGCGTCTCTGCCCTTGTATGTCTAATAAGGTAGAATCTGTCACACACATTCTTCTATCTTGCGAATTCTATAGTGAAGAACGAGCTCAACTTATTTTACCGCTTCTATCAAAATTTATACCCCTTCAATATTATTTGGAATCCTCCCCTGAAATTCTTCGAAAATACCTCCTGGAAGATTCCTCAAGCTCAGTATCATATGAGGTGGCTAAATTTTGCACTTTAGTAATTAAGAAACGTAAATCTCTTCTGTTGAATGGCACACTGCGAAGTTCCCTTGTGTAACCTTTTTTCTTTTCTGAAGTTGTTGCTGATTTCTTGTTGTCTGATCTTGGGATGTTTAGTGTCACTGGCTTTGGCCGCAATAAACTTGAAAGTAAAGTAATCTGAATAGATGCATATTCCATAAAGGGTGGAGAATAGGATCTGGCTGGTGAGTCGGGTCCTCAGCTAACCCACCATCTACAGGCCACTTTGGCAGTTAGGCAGGGTAACCCACCTGTCCAACAACACCATAACATCACGTGGCCCAGCTTCAAATGAAATATTTTTTTTCATTTCTTTGCAGCTTGGCTTAGGCTCAAGGGGTTACTGCAAAGGAAGATTCCTTCAGCCTATATCAGTGGGGATTACAGTCAGTGTCCATCAGCCGATTTCCCCCTTGCTTTTGGCAGGGATCTGTTGCTCTCAAGTTCCTGACCAAGAACTCTAAAAGTGTAGTCTGTCCCACTGACCATTGGCTGATCAGTCCTGATTGCAATCTCAGCTTCAGCAGGATTCAACTGCACTTGGGAACAATTTCCATTTTACAAAATAGGTCGGTAATGTAGTATGTTTTTATTTTATTTTACAGTGATGTGTTCTGTGGGTTATTGCTTTGTGCAAATCTTGATGGAGTTCCACGAATTGGTCACCTTCAGGGAGAAATCATCCCAACTTCTTTTTTCCACCAAGGTGTAGTAGTGAATTGCAGGTGAGTAGTGTCATATACAAGGTGTATTAATGCATTTTTAGCACTTTCAGCTGAATAATTAAGGTATATTTTTGAAGTTAACTTCTCAAGAACTACAACCAAAGTTTTGTTTCATAGAACTTAAGTTTAGTTTACATTTCCATAGTACATGCCCCAAACATTCTCTTTTGAGTATTGGTATCATTGCCTTCTAGATACCAATTTTTAATATCAATGTTTCTAAAACTTACCTGCTTTTGTTCTTGCTGCCTCATTGAAATAATTCAAAGTTTTACTATTGACTTCAGTGTAGTCAATATAGTACTTGCTTCTCAGAGTATTTTGAGATCCGTGAGCTATTTACATTTGCTTGCTTTATAAACTTTTCAGTCATGCTAAGAGCATAAAAAAAACTTCTTCTTCCAGTTGTGCCCACGTACTTCTAGATGATGATACAGATTTAGGATATGTTGAAGATGGAGCTCCGTGTGGTCCTCAGATGATGTGTATGGACAGAAGGTGTCTGTCTATCCAGTCTCTGAATATAAGCAGCTGCCCTATTGGTGCTAATGGAAAAGTTTGTTCTGGACATGGGGTAAGTCCAAACTAAGTTCTGCCCACTTTCCTAGTCCAGCTAAGATTAGTCCATATTCCTAGTTCTATAAAAAAACCATTTTGTAGTGTTTCTCACCATTAACCTATATGTGTCTTCACACTGGACACTGAGAAAGAGATATTGCTCTTTCAGCTCAGTACTTAGTTTTGTTTACCTTCAGAAATGCTGGCTGATATTCCAGCAGGTGCGTTCTGTGAACTGGGTTGTTTTTTCCAGTTGCACCTAGAGCAGAACAACTTGCTGGAGATCTGGAAAATAAAGGCCACAATTTTAATTTCATTTAAGGACTGAGTGCTGCTGGATTAGGCCTTTCTCATTCAGCTGTCTGTTGTCTTTAACTAACCAGTTGCCTACAGGAAGCTTTCAGTCTGCAAATGAGCACAATAGCACTCTCTCACTCACGTTCCCCAGCGTAAGGTATTCAGAAGCAAACAGCCTTTGATACTGGAGGTAGAACATAGCCATGATGACTAATAGACAATGATTGGCGTATCATCTATGAATTTGTCTAATCCTCTTTTAAAATGGATGGCTCTCACCACTCTTCCAGCCAGTCCCTGACAGGCATTTTGGACTGCTTCAACTGGATCTGTTTGCAACTCCTTACAACACTCAATTCTCCAGCTCTTCTCTCATTTCCAGATGAGAGTGGTGAATGCGAGTCCTTGGCCAAGAGTCTCCTTTATGCCTTGATGGGCCATGTTGGCCCTGGTTTTTAGACCTACTCAGGCTCCGAATGGAGCCACCATGACCGCTTCCTCTTTGCTTGGGTTTGCTGATCCAGCGTCCCATGTGGTATCTGGATCTGAAGTGGGTGAATGTAGAAGAATGGTGTTTGGACAGCAGTGCCTGAAACTCAGGCTATTGATACCTTCATGGCATCCTGCATTCTTCCACAAAACAGATCAGTCAAAGTACCTGGAAGGCTTTCATTGCCTTGTGTGCCTCAAAGATGATTTTAGCTTCTTCTGTGTCCATTCGGCAGGTACATTATAGCTTTCAGGACATCGTGCTACCATCCTTTCGTCCCAATCCAGTCCACCCTCTTGAGAAAGTTTGGCCTTGGATGTTTGATAGGCACTTGAGAAATGCTTGAATCAGGGGTGTAGCTAGCTGCTCCAGCACCCGCAGCAGCGGGGGCCGGGCGATCTGCCCACAGAGGCAGGGTGGCGATCCGTCCAGGGGGGCACCGCGGCGAGCTGCCCACTGAATCTAACTGGCGGACACAAGCCCCACTCTGCCATTTTGGGCAGTGCACGTCCCGAGGCACTGCGTCACTCCCAGGAGAGACGCATGGCTTAGGCACGCTGTAGTGCTGCCCCTCATGGTGTGCCATTTTGTCACCCCATTGGGGATGACGCCCAGGGCGGACCGCACCCTCCGCACCCCCTTCCTACACCCCTGGCTTGAATTGTACAAAGGACTTCCAGCAGTCAGAGAGAGTGTTTGCATCTCTCTATCCATGAACTCCAAGAAATAAGTTTTCATTCTCCACTCTGGCCAGTTGACTGTGGGCCTGCTTTGCCTACTTTAAGTGACTCACTTAAACTGCTGGTGCAGTCTAATATCACAGCAGTCTCAGGCCACTCTGCTTTCACTGTGGATGCCTTTGCATCTAATGCTTCTGTTTTGGACATTTGCAGAGATGCAGCTTGATCTTCTGCAAGCGCCTTTGTTTCTTTTTTGTTGCTTCTCTAAATCCCAAACTCATTACAAGCTTGACATGTCTGCATCTGCTGGTGCTTCTTTTAGGAGATGTGTTGCAGCAGGTGGTTCCACAGAGCTGCACGTGCTTTTCTTCACCTATGCTTATCTTGGGACTGCTTGAGTGTATTCCATCTGATGGACAGACACCATAGAAAATGGTCCATTGTATTCACCTGAAAGGTGTCTGTCCCCATGTTGTTCAGTCTTCGTTCTCTGTCCTCAGCTGTTGCATTTCCTGCCTTTGCCCATGAGGTGGCAGCATAGCCCATCTCATGGGCATATGTCAATGAAAACCACCTTTCAGGTGACTGCTGTAGACTGTTCTCTAACAGAGGAAATCCTATACCCAGTAGAGTGTTCCAGAGGTTAAGCACATGGGAGATTGCAAAGATCCCCGAGGTTGGCAAACTTCTGATCCCCTTCTGACCCCCTCTAGCCAAATGGTGAAGCTTTACTTAAGAGTAGAAGGAAGGGAAGTCCCGCGGTAGTCTGGGTGTCTCCTGCATCCCACCCATGGAATGGAACACGGGTCACTTTCTGTAAAGGCTCCTTCGGCTGGGTGTGCCAGAGGCATCCAGCCTCACCCATTTCCTTTGGGCATCTGAAACACATTTATGTAGAAGTCTGTACAGTCGTTTTCTGCTAATTTTGACGTGACAGGTTTGTGTCATGTGCGCCTTTGTTTCTTTGCCTCCGCTAATGCTCTCCCTTGCTTGCTCATGAGACTGGAAGTAGGGAGGAGCTGGCTGGTTTGTCAGAGTTTGATCATGTGTCACTATTTGTTCTGGACAAGGGAGGGGGAGAGTTAACCCACTGTAAGTAAAGGTAAAGGGGCCCCTGACCATTAGGTCCAGTCGTGGCCGACTCTGGGGTTGCGGCGCTCATCTCGCTTTATTGGCCAAGGGAGCCGGTGTACAGCTTCTGGGTCATGTGGCCAGCATGGCTAAGCCGCTTCTGGCGAACCAGAGCAGCGCACGGAAACGCCGTTTACCTTCACGCTGGAGCGGTACCTATTTATCTACTTGCCCTTTGACGTGCTTTCGAACTGCTAGGTGGGCAGGAGCAGGGACCGAGCAACGGGAGCTCACCCCGTTGCGGGGATTCGAACCGCTGACCTTCTGATTGGCAAGTCCTAGGCTCTGTGGTTTAACCCACATCGCCACCCATGTCCCACAAAAATATAAATGTATAAATGGATAGTATAAATGGATTTTCCCCTAAATAGGACTACTTACTCTACCTAGGAACTTTAGCAGATGAACGAAGCATATGATTATTTTTTATTATGTGGTAACACGATTTTTCTTTCAGGTATGCAGCAATGAAGCCACTTGCATTTGTAACTATACCTGGGCAGGGACAGATTGTAGCATGCATGACCCCAAAAGGAAAGAAGAAGCAGAGAAACCAAATGGACCAAAGGGTTTGTGTAATTTCAGTTTTTCTTCCCACCCCCAACTCTTATATAAGTACATTTTTGAGCAGGAAAATTTGGAGCAAAGTGCCCATGTACAATGCAGGTGTGTGTGTGTGTGTGTGTGTGTGTGTGTGTGTGTGTGTTTCTAGGTAAATAGCATTTATGCTAGGTATGCTAGGTGAAAAGCATTTATGCTTTTACCTGTAGCGTTCCAGAGGTGCTCACAGAAAATCATTACCTACTGTGAAAACTTTTTAGCTGTTGCCTTTTCTGTTTAATGACGTAGATCTAGGTAATATATTCTATTTGAAACCCATTGATAATCTTACATCCCAGTATGGCAAGGGGTTTGTTTGTTGGTTATTTCTATTTTTGATATATTATAACCATGACAAGAACGCTTCAATCCTTTACAAATCTCTATTAGAGTTAAGTTCGGTATAGGGGAGGCTTACATTCTTAGGGGACATCTAATGCCATTTACCACACAATCTTGCGCATGTCTATTGAGAATTAAGTCCTGTTTAGTACTGTGGGGACTTAGCAGGAGTAGCAAACAAAGTTCCAGTTCTGTTTCACGACAGCTTCCACCATCCCTTGCCATTGGTCATAGTGGCTGGGCTGATGGGAGCTGGGAGGGCACCACGTTGGCCACCCCTCTGCCGCCTTAAATGTTTTGCCCAGTTATGCAATGGAGTCCCTTCTTTCATATGACTTCCTGAAAGTTTTTTGTAGACTATATCGCTGAAGAAAAGTAACAAAAGCATCAAGAAATATTCCAAATTTTAATTATTCTTAATTTTTTTGCATGCTGAAAATAGATCTTTGTTTTATTGTTGCGTGCTTAGCAGGCTTTAAAGTTTGGGTTTTTTAAAAGCCCTTTGAATCTATTAACCATAGCATCCCTAAAACCCAGTATTAAAAAGTGAACCAGCCGTAGCTTGACTTTTTTTGGGAAATTGGTTTTAAATTTTCTCATTGTCAGTGCACCCTCTTACATTTCCCATCTTTTAACCTCTAGAATTTGGCAGGCCGTTTTTTATTTACAATATAGCCCAGAATAGAGAAGCTACTGTTTTTCAATGTATGGATATTTTTACTGGGTTGTGTTTGTTCGTTGTTGTGAGTATTTTGAAAATCTGTATTAGTACTTGAAGTTGATTAAAGTATGGTAGATACACCACTGCATGCAGAATTTACAGTGCATGCACTTTATTATAACATTATCAGTTTCTCTTAACAAAAGAAATAAACATTGGATCCTAGTGGTAATTCAGCATACAGTGGTGCCTCGCAAGACGAAATTAATTTGTTCCGCGAGTTTTGTCATCTTGCGATTTTTTTCGTCTTGCGAAGCACGGCGTCGGGAAAGTTTTGGAAAAGCTTCAAAAATCACCAAAGTCTTTAAAAACCTCAAAAAAGGCTACCACACCGCGTTCTGAGTTGCTCGAAGTCAAGTCGCAACTGTATTAACGGTGTTAAGAAAAGAAACAAACTTGCAAGACGTTTCCGTCTTGCGAAGCAAGCCCATAGGGAAAATCGTCTTGCGAAGCAGCTCAAAAAACAAAAAACCCTTTCGTCTAGCGAGTTTTTTGTCTTGCGAGGCATTCGCCTTGCGAGGTACCACTGTATTAAACTTTTAAAAGTTTTGTAAAATATTAAAGCAAAGTTTCCAGAGGAAGAAATTTGGAAATAGTGCTTGGTACCTCATTCAGTTTGGGAAGTTGGCACCCCGTGCTTACTGTAAATCTCTACACTGATCTTTTTCAAGGGCCTCCTAATAGTGAGCCACAACATAGGAAGAAGGATAAGTTAAAGCTATCTCTTTGTCCAGTCTTACCACCTTCCTAAATGGATGGTCCAACAATGTAGAATGTGCAATCCCTAGGGATTCTGTTCTCTAGTGGGAGGGGCAGTTGCCATCTTCCAGTTTTATTCCTCCTTAGGATACCGTTGGCAGACTTTCAGTGAGCCATTCCTGCTATGAGGTGAGTCTTTATTTCCTGATTCCTGTTTCTAAACCCTCTTAGAAATAATAATAATAATAATAATAATAATAATAATAATAATAATAAAAGAAATGGGTTGGAAAATGCTTTGGGAATGTATAAGAAAGAAGGGCATTTGTAACTCGGAATACAAAATGAATCAAGATCCTAGATTCAGGTTAATCGAGACCTGATAGAGAGAGAGGAGGAGCCAGTCAGATTGAATGGGACCAATATGAGGAGGTGTGCTGTGTAGCATTAGGAAGAGAATTAAAACCAGGGTCCAAAGAAGAGACATGTGCTGTGTACATGGCAGAGAATTGTGCATACAAGCCAGAACTTTGATTCTCAATTTCACTGTAGCAGTTCTCAATGCTGAAGAGCAGTTTGAAAGGCAGCTTTTATCTTTGGCAGTGTGGTGTGCTAATGCATAATTGGGCAGCAAAACTCTGTTTGCATATCCATACTTGCTTGCATACTTTTCTTGTATCCCAATGAAAAAATTCCCAATGATGGTCCATTATCTAAGGATCAAAATGCCCTAGATCTGAAAAGATAATCTGCTTTTGATTTATATTCTGCAGCATTCCAGCATATGCCACTAATTTTTATTTTACTTCTTCATAGCCAACCAGTCACTTATTTAAAAACATTCATGAAACAAAAATATTTTCTGAAAGAAATAGGTTAGAAATCATGCTTAAGATTAAGGTGACAGGGATTCTGTTATGAGAACCTTAAACCTGTTTAGCTGTATTTGGGACTTATGAATAGGTGAACATATAAAATTATCTTCTGAAATCAGAGTGCATTCGACATTCAAACAAAAATATCAAACTCTTTCATTACATAACATTTTTCTCTGCTCTCCCTATCTTTAAAATTGTGAGCATTCAGCAAAACCTTAACAAGATCTTCAAAGAAGTACTGTATCTGTTAAGTGTTTAACCATGTAAATCATGAAAAAACCAGATTTGTAGGGGTTTTTTTTAGATTTGTCTTATAGATAGATTGTCTTATCAATTATAATACCATATATTTATGCATTTTGAATTATTACAGATGTTATATAAACCAGTAAGTTATGTTAAGATAATTGATTAACTTCTGTTCCTGATGCATAATTGCATTTCTGTCAGAACTTATCATCCATCAGTTGCTTTTTCATTTTTCTGTATTCCAGGATCTAAAATCAGTGTCAGTTTCAGATATACAGTGGTGCCTCGCAAGACGAAAAGAATCCGTTCTGGGAGTCTCTTCGTCTAGCGGTTTTTTCGTCTTGCGAAGCAAGCCCATTGACGGGATTAGCGGATTAGCGCTATTAGCGCTATTAGCGGCTTTTAGCGGCTTTTAGCAGCTTATCAGCTTATCAGATAAGCAGATAAGCGGCTTAGCGACTTAGAAAAAGAGGGGGAAAGGAAAAAAAAAACCCAGGAACTCGCAAGACATTTTCGTCTTGCGAAGCAAGCCCATTGCAGATTCGTTTTGCGAGGCACCTCCAAAACGGAAAACTCTTTCGTCTAGCGAGTTTTCCGTCTTGCGAGGCATTCGTCTTGCGGGGCACCACTGTAGATAAATACACTGAACTCTGAAATATATAATTAGCCAGAATGTCTCTAATGGATTATAATAAAAGGTAAACTATTTTTCCTGAAAAGCTAATTTTCAGTGGGCTACGGTAACAAATTTAACTGTGAAATCAGGATAATTTGCCAACATTTTGTAATCAGATATCCATATTTCCCAAATTCATCTAAGAATAGAGCTTCTATCTAAAACACAATTTAAATTCAAAAAATCTTTACCCTTCTAGTTGTTTCTGTAGTTGTCTGTAACCAAAACTACAAAATTAGGCATTAGTATGGAGGTTCCATGGTTTTTGTTCTAAATTGTAGTTCAAACACACCAAGCCAACCCAATTTGAACTTAAAATATGAGAGACAATGTTTTATTCTTTCATGGAATGGCTTCCTATCTCTGTGAATGAAATAATCAGTACAAGTAATGAGTCACAGAGATAAAAACCAAAGCCTGAATAATGATTGCATTTGTTTGTTTTTTTAAAAGTCATGGTAGGTTTTTTTAAAAAACAAAATGTTATGTGTAAACACAATGCATAAATTGAAATATACCTTCTTTCATTTCTAAGCATGATAAAGATAGAAGGAATTTATTCAAAAAAAGAAATAAACTACATTCAATATAATAGTTGGGACTCTTGAAGAAGAATAAATGTCAAGAAAAATTATAGGGTGGTGTCCAAAGAACATCCTTAAGGACTTGTGCGTGGTCAGTGGGAGTTTTGACCTGCACTACATAATAAATGGTTTTTGAACCTTTGGTCACTACCAAAAGATGATTGCATGCAACACAGGGAATGCTGCTAGAGTTCAAAGCATCGCTGACCCTAAAAACTAGTAATACAGTTCTTTAATCCTGGCCCTACTTTTTCAAGAGTTGTTGTCCCCAAACAATTACATATTTGGGTGTTACGTAATAGACCAAATAGACCAAGTCATGTCCCTAATCTTGGTGTGCTAAAGAAGAATGTTTTCTGGGTAGCTTGTAGGAAAGATAAGAAATTTGATTTCATTTGTGCTGGATTCTGGAGACAGTAGAGGAAGGTAGAAAGCAGGGCTGAGACCTTCCTTCTCTTTAAGAATGAGCTAAATAGGTAATTAAGTGTCTTCAGATAAGTGCAACATCTATTAATTCCATTGTTTCCACTTGGAAATATATTAAAAGTTAAAAATAAACTAGTGGTCTTTTTATTTGTCTCTAACATTTCCTTGCTGTTCCCTGCAATCATAAGTAGGCCTTATAATGAAATATGACAACATAGAAACATAGCTGTCAACTTACAGATTTGAAAATAAGGGACCAGCAGCCAAAATAAGGGACTTGCAGCCTCACCTGTTCCAGGCACTCCAGTCTTCCTGTCCTCCTGCAGTCTGGTCAAACATGCTGGTAGCTTCAAGAACACTGTCCAACCAACTTTGTAACCAGAGGTTCAACTGAATAGAATCTGAATCACATGCACCACAAGGCCTAAGCAGCCTCAACTTAAGATGGCTCCCCGGCCTGGCTTTGCACTGCAAAGTTTGCAGCAGCACGTGCAACAAAATGGCGTCCAGCATTCAAAAAACCCTTCAGCTTGCATTAACTAGCCACACACAAGGCATGCAAGCTCCACCCCCCAGTCGTTCTTAGACTTCTTATCGGGTGAGCAACACAGCCAAGCAACACAGTTGGAGCCTCCCTCCTCCCTGGCCGGCAGGGAGGGACGGAGAGGAGCTGCTTCCTTTGAAATTTAAGGGACATCATTTAAGGGACATTTAAGGGACATCCATCAATAAGGGACAGCAGCTGGACATGGCGCTGGAATAAGGGACTGTCCCTTCAAATAAGGGACACTTGACAGCTATGCATAGAAACCTTTAGAGAAAGTGGTAGCCGTGAAGTTTATATGATGCACAAGTTTGGTACATCTTCCAGTAACATTGCTACATGGAATGCTGACTTCCCATAAAATTGGTCAAGATGCTTCGCCTTGCATAACGAAACGTAAGGTGCAGTGAAGAATACACCTGGAATCAAAGGACAAATTCGGCCCATAGTAAGAGAGCGCCAGGAATTTTCAGCCGTGTTTCTAAAACACTCATAAATGTAAACAACGCATTTCTTGTGTGCTTGGCTTTATTGGTCGGTATGCAGTATACCTGTGATGTTACAAAATAGTTTCGTTATTTGTGAAGGTTTAAAAATCGTGTTCCCTCTTAAAATGGAAATGGGTACTGTATTGTGTAGGCTGAGAAAATATTTATAAATTCTGGGAGGCCCAAGCCATGGAGGGCATTGCCATAGAGCTTTAATGGCCTTTGGCGATATGCATATCCGCCGTTCATTCTTTACAACAGGAGACCCATGCACACACCTCCCATTTACAGTCTATCCCCCTCTTCCCCAGAATCCTGACCGCTTGTTCTCAGAGCAAGTAACCCTACATGCCAGACCGTGTTAAGGAAAGGAATGGCTGCTTTAATATATATAGAACATGAATGGTTTTCTTTCTTTTAATGACCAGTGTGTTGCCGTGTATGGAGCTGAACGCCAGCTTGGGTGGTTGGGTGGGGGGAAGCAAGGAGAATACAGAACTCCATTCCCCCGCATGTGGCTGCACCCATGGGGGCACGGATCACACCTATTATTTACAAAGCACTGCTCAGTTACAAAATAGAGGTAGCTTTTAAATAGGTGACGTGCATCACATTCAGGCAAATATAATCTCTGATAATTCCGTAATTCTAAATGGCTGTAAAAATCAAATGAAAGAAAGTATTTTTTATCATTTTGGGGTGCCATTTAAAATTCTTCTTTTCAGACATCTTCTGTGTACATGATGACTTGCTTTTTAAAAAGTGTTCCCTTTTCCCTCTATACAGTGAGCATGGCCACTAACAGACTTATAGGTGCAGTGGCAGGGACCATTCTGGCCCTGGGGGTGATTTTTGGAGGCACAGGGTGGGGAATAGAGTAAGCATATTTCTTAGTCTAAGAGTTTCATGTTTGGTGCCTAGTGTGTGAGGTAACTGTACGCATCTGAGCCCTCTGTGTACTATCCCATTAGCTTTGTGTTCTGTGGTGACCGTATTTGTCATGTGATTTGGATGTCTGTGTCATGTGATATGCTCATGCAGTGTTTAACCCTCTCCTGTCTGGGACAATGTGGGGCATAAAACAATGTATGTGAATCTTATATAATGCAGTTTGATGTTTACATGTTTTCTATGCTCTAAATTATATAAAAAGAATTTTTTTAAAAAAAAAAAACCTAGTCATTGCCAAATGCTTTCTAATAGACAACTTAAGACTATTTGATAAAATTTGGTTTATTGCCATTGGAATTAAGTGTAACAGTACGTAAACAATCCAAGTTGAATAATAAGAAAGTAGAATTGCTTGGGAACAATAGCCAGCTTTTAATAACTGTTGACTCTTCTTTCTCTAGGGTTTTTAGTAGGCCTAGACCAATAGTGTTCCATGTTCCATGTTATGCTCTGATTCAGTAGGGAAGATCTGTACATGAAAACAGGCTTCTGCACATAAAGCCAACAGATAAACAGATATTATTGCTGGATGTGTAGCCTCATCTGTACCACAAAGCTCATCTGGCCTGGCTAGAGGTGTCTTTTGATGTTTATCCGAAGTCATCTGTTACACGTGTCTAAAGATGGATTGGGGCTTTAAAACTATATGGATATTTGCTATATTATAGTGAGATAGATCAGTTTCTGTTATGAACACATTGATTGACATTTATGCCATCCATCCATGGGATTAGAAATAGATATGAGATAAAACCATTTGGTATTTTGTGGAAATATATCACAGACCAGGTTTAACCTTTCATTTCTTTGTGTTTCTTTTCATTTTTAACAGTGAGCAAGTCACCTGTATTTTGCTGACTGTTCCCTTAAACACAATCTCTTTTTTTAATAGGGTCAACAAGTTATTTTGCTACTATAATTTCTATAATAATTTTAAAATGTATCCGCACACTCTGTGTATCAGCCTCAGGTTATATAATGGCAGGAAGTTTCAAGGACACTGGTTTTGTATATCCATGATTTTCTATCATTTGTCTTACATTAATGACAGTAGAGTTTGTATTATTATTATTATTATTATTATTATTATTAAAAATTGAGTTAAGGAAGTTCATAGAAAGTAGGTTTCCCATCTGCTCCACGCTTCCCCCAAGAGGAAGGAGGCTGGTTTGAGGAGAAGGGGACAGGAAACTCAACATTGCATGAATTTCCTTAACTGCGAATCCTACACATTGTCTACTCGTAAGCGAGCCCTGTTAATTTGAGCCGGACTCCCAGGTAGGCGCCTATAAGATTTGCAGCCACTGATTTATCAAAGCCCAGTTTGGGGCGTTTTCCCCATCCTAGAAGTTCCCTCTGCCCTTAGTTTTGGAGCATATCCCCCCCCCCCAGCCTTGCTGAGTAATGCAGGGAAGGGAAGCAACAGGAACCATTCCTCCTGTGTATGTATTTAAATTAACTTACTTCAATATGCACATAGTCATTTCTGGTAATAATGATTATAACAATCTGAATTTTTCAAAGTCTTCTTTGATTTGGAAATTAAGCAAAAAGGCAGAGAAAGCAGGTAGAAAGAAACAAATTTTGCATGCTAAAGTAACCCAAGCTCACCTCATTTCCACTGGCAACTCCTAGGAAGGCTGTGGAATTGCCTTTGGAGTGATAACCCAGGCTTAATCCAGACAAGACTGAGGGGCTAGAGGTGGGGAAGCTGGCTGATCTAGGAGGAGTGACGTGACTGGGACCGCACTCCTCCAAAGGACCAGCTTTGGGGGTTGGCTGTGGAATTGCCTGTGGAAGTGTAGGTGAGGTCTAGGAATGCCTTTTAGCAGCATTACATTAGTTTGTGTGGGCAAAAGGTCCTTCAGATAACTCAATCCCAAACACATTGAGGGCTTTAAAGATTTAAGACAGCATTTTGAGTCGGGTCTGAAAATGCACGGGTGACCAGTGCAGCTGATACAGATGCTCCACTCATCTTCCTCTCATCAACAACCAAACAGCAGCATTCAGTACCGGTTGAAGTTCAGACTGTCCTCAAGGCAGTACCATGCACATCACATTTCAGCCTTAACTGGTGACTGCTGCATAGATTACCAAGGCAAGGTCCAATCTCTCCAGAACAGTGTTGCTATGTGATCAGCATTGATTTCCTTATAGGCAAACTCCCATTCTTGGGTGGCAGAAGGCAATCTTCAGTTCTAGAGTCCACCACATGTTTTATGCCTGCAATTTTTGTCTGCTTAATAATTTCTGGAATGTGTGCACAGAGGTGCCCAGTGTATTTGTTTTATACAGTGTTTGCTTTCTCCTCTGTTTATAGCCACATTTGGCAAAGATTTGTTTTTTGGCAACAAACGAGGTCTGCTTTTGCGTCAGTAATCCTTGTATAGTTGCAGAATATCTGAAACACCAAACGCATCACAAAATACAGGTTATAAAAACATAACCTTTTCTCTACTATCTTATTTATTTATAATGAAGGTTACAAATCCTTCCAAGACGAATTTACAATTAGCGTCAAAATAAATTCTTTCAAACCACAATAAACAATATCAACATATAAAGTTAGCAGCATCCTTTCCCACAGGGCAGTTGGTGACCGGTGGCCTTTTGGGTGATGGAGTAGAAGAGTCCAGATGGAGTAGGCTTATTGGCCCATTTGCTTGGTTGGGTCCTTCCCACAAGGCAGTTGGTGGGGTGGGAAAGAGTCCATCTAGAGCAGGCTCTGAGGCCTCCAGGAATCCTTCCCACGGGGCAACTGATGGTGGATGAGCCTGTGGGAAGGTGAGGAAGATATTTCACCTGGAACGTTCTTTGATTTTTTCCCCCACCTGCCTTCCTGGAACTCACTCCAATGCAGCAAGGGTGAGTCTGGTGAAGTGACGGGGTTCTATGCAGAGATTGCCTTCGGGCATGGTCTATTTAGCAGGGGGAGGTAACGCAGGTAGAATGTCTCTCACTATATTTGCACAGATGGACAACTGGACAGTGTCGCTCTTACAGCATCGGTTATATTTTGTGGGGAAACTGATATCAAGCAGCTCACACACACCGCCCCCACTCCCTGTCCCTCAACAGGTAATAAAATCAGATGTTCCTGTGCTAACCCTCTATATCCAGGAGGGGAAGGGATCTAGGGATAAATTTCCTGCTCCTGGGCATTAGGACCAGGACTAAAGTGAACAGTTGCTTGCTCCACAAATTGATTTCGAACAGGTGACAATATTCGGCCTCTCGGTGTCGCAAAGCCTACATTTTCTTTAAAATACTGGTGCTACTGTTTAAATGTGAATTTTTAGCAGCGGCATGCAAACAAAAACATGTTTAGATCATACAGCAATATAAACAGAAAGTCTTAAACCCTATGTAGATATGCTTTTTCTCCCTTGTTCCCTGGGTGGTGCTCTTTTGTTATCAGGACCAGGTGTATTGAAACTAATCTCACAGCATAATGTTCTTTACAAAATTCATGTACTCTGATAAACAGTGACATTCTCTCATCGATGCACCTGGAAAGTGAAGGGGTCGAAAAGAAAGGGCTCTTGGACCCATTAGTTGCCCCTGCTTGCTCCCCTTCTGTGGTTGCTTCTTTTCCGAAAGTAATTCAAACACTGTTAGAGATTGGATATAAGCTTTTTCAAACGGTTGACTGTCTTATCAAAGCAAAAAACAGCAAAAACACCCTATGACTTCTAATATTTGAATGTTGCAGCATGGTTAGGTATATGTAATAGTAATAAGTAATAAGTTTGGATACATTTGAACTGGAGTTGGGAGTTTCAGTAACAGCAGATATTCTGGTAAGGAATTAATTTGGAAATGCAAACAGGATGGTATCCAACTAAAACATACTTGGAATTGGCCCATTAAAATCAGTGGAATAAGTCCATTGATTTCAGTGGGTTTATTCTGTGTATTCATGTTTGAGCAAGAGAGAGATTAAATAAGTTTGGCCCTTTTGACAATGTTTGTTTAAAGTAACTGAATAGCACACTTATTTAAAATTGCTTGATTACATTTCCCTTGATGTGAATTAATTAAGTGGTTGGTTCTTATGTCTTTCTTCCCATAATCCTTTGTCACAGGTCCTAGCGCCACCAATCTTATAATAGGCTCCATCGCTGGTGCCATCCTGGTAGCAGCTATTGTCCTTGGGGGGACAGGATGGGGCTTTAAGTAAGCAATGCCGCATGTCTTCTCTTCAGTGGCTATGGCATATCTCTCTTCTGCTTACATCACTAAATTTTGAGTTCCTGCTACAAGATCTCCGGTAATATTTTACTGTAATAAATCTGTGTTTAGTGAAGGGGCTAAAATATGCGTTACAAAATCTCAAAGTTGTCACCAGGATGCAAAGTTGTCAAAATGGCAAAACCAGTAGATTAAGATTAATGGCCTCAATGAATGTGAGCCAGAATGCTGGTTTAAAATGGGGAAAGTACAGTGGTACCTTGGTTTACGAACTTAATCCATTCCGGAAGTCCGTTCTTAAACCAAAGCGTTCTTAAACCAAGGCGTGCTTCCCCATAGCAGCGGGGGACTCAATTTACAAATGGAACACACTCAACAGTAAGCGGAACATGTTCTGTGTCCAAGGCAAAGTTCACAAACCAAAACACCTACTTCCGGGTTTGCAGCATTCTTAATCCAAGTTGTTCATAAACCAAGCTGTTCTTTAACCAAGGTACCTCTGTACTGTTTATCTGCTTGTGCTGTTATAAACACCTTATAGGAAGTTTCCCATTATGGTAGGAATTCTAGAGTCTAGATGTACCTGCACCTGAACATGCTCAGATATCCAGGAACTAGAATATAAAAATATACACCAGATTGACAAATTGTATGAATTTGTACCTTCTCAGGGGATCTCTTCCAGTGGTAAAGCAGTGAGCTGCTTTAATCATGCAAAGTACAGCCCTGAAGGTTGGTGCCTCGTTACAAGTCTGCTGGCAGCCTGCCCTCTGCGTTCACAGCAGGCATGGAATGATCAACCTAGCTGTCTGAACTGATTTTTAGAGCAAAATTAGAAAATATGGAGAATGCATGGCTGTTGTCCTGTAAGCAACAGTTGGTATCAGTGCAGCACTTTGACATGACCTTGTCTTTTGAAAGTTTCTTTGTCCTCAGTGCTTCTGCTTAGCTGCTGCTTGCTAGCACAAGGGAATTTTCAGCACAGTGAAGCCATGTCGTGCATGTTACCTTGCTAGAAGTAACACAAAGCATTTGAGGGGAGGGAGGGAGATGGTTCTGATGGGTTCTCAATAGGCGTGCATTCTCCATCATGCTAGTTCTGCTGTTGAAGACTCTTGTTATGTACAGATGCATTTAAAAGATGAAAAACCGCTTTGGGTAAGGGAAAGGTTGAGACCTAACTCCTTCCCTGCCAGTTTCTACTCAAACTATATATTCCCTTCTCTTCCCACCCCCCAACAGCTTCCCCCACTGTAAGGTTTTGAAATTTGCTAAGGCATTGAGATGACAAAAATTTAATACATACTAGTCAGTGCCTGACTAGTTCGTTTATGGAAATTTGTTTGCAATCTCTGTTACTCTTTTGAGAAATCCTTTTTCTCAGAGAGTTTACTTGGGAACCATCCCTTTCATTTATAAGATAACTGCTAACATTAAGATGCTGTGAGATGTGAACTGCCCTATGGATGAAGGGCAGTATAATAAGTAAATAGATAAATACATTTCACCAGTTGTAATTAGAAGTGAAGATTACTGTGACGCAATAGTCCAACAGCATCTTCAAGACACCAAGATGGCTTCCTCTCTTGTAGTATTAGAAGCATCTTCTCTATCTCTTTGCACACCCTTCCTACCAGATGGCTCTTGCTGTCAGTATCTGACAGCACAGATCATCTGGAGAGAAGGAACACTTGGATTTGTTTAAGTTCTCCCTTCCTGCATTGCAGGGGGTTGGACTGGATGTCCCTCGGGGTCTCTTCCAACTCTTCAATTCTATGATTCCACCTCCTCCTTCCCTCCCCATTCGGTAGGTGATCTGCGCTATCTTTCCCTATATATAGCATTGTAGTTTGGGGAAGGTTCTGTGAATGTAGCAGCTACAATTACTGTTGCTAGGATTGCCTAAGAGCCACATTCGTTGTTGGCCCAACCTTCTGCGGGGCTCGTGCCAGATTCCTCACATACTCTTGCCTATTCACACACATGCACACACACACCCTGTTGCTGATCTGCACAAAGCAGGTGTTATCACACTCTCCGCTCATCAAATGATCAATCTGATATTTGTGGAGTGGATGATTTGCATGTCTTTGCCCACCCTAGTGCAGTGTCTACATAAAAATAATTATTTTGCTGCTGCCACCAAAATTGTGGAGTCTTGGTAGCAGAGCAGAAATAAATTGTTCAGAGGTTGGGTTAGGTCCCCAAACTTTATGCCATGCTTCATGCCATTCAAAACATTCACTCGAAGGTGTTAGTTTTATTGAGATGAACCCCATTAAATTAATAAACCACCCATTACCCATTCTGAACCACCTGTGATTTATTATCATTCACAAATGCTCTCAATCTTTCAATGTAAATAGTCATAAATAGTTACGCTAAGATGGTATTGCTTGAGCATTTATTTATCACGTTGTTTTTTTACATACAGAATTATGACATAAATTCAGATGTGATCAATATTGCGGTTTACATATGATCAGGAAATATAATGCTTACCTAAAACCAACATTCAATTTGTGTAACTGATCAGTTACTGGAGCTCAGATCCATGAGGCAAATTATTCGCCTCTTAATGGAGTTCTAAGCTTTCCATGGAAGTTTGTGCATGCTGGCACTCTGTATCATGGGATCACCATAGTAAAATCAAAAGTCTTTGTTGTATGTGTTGAATATAGAAAATTGACACAAAACCCCATCAGTGAAGTACATATAAAAGATTCAAATTTTGACTTCAGGCACATATATTTCTATTTTAATAAAGAATGTGGGGGGGTTTGTGTGTGTGTCAATGTACTTACTGGGTTATTAAACTTCATGACCTTTAATTTTACCACTGATACTCTAAAAGTGAATAAAGCAAAGTATGTGTTTAAATGAAGGCTTGAGCCATACCAGCCCTCCCGCCCAATTTCCTTATAAACTACATAATACTATATTGATCCTTTTGACTTTTGTCCATTCACACTTTAGTCATCTCTAGCATATATTTCCCACTTAGATAATACTTTGCATCCTGTGTGTCATTCTAGTGTACAATATATATATATACAACGAAATAATTTGGTTCCCCGGTATGGACAACGGTTCTCTATAAGTATCACAATAGTTCTCTTATTAATTTAAAATGAAAGTATTTTATTCTGTAGCAGAACCTCAAATATGATGGCCTCGCCTAGCTCACAGCTTGAAGTGCATGTTTCTTTGGGGTAAAACTGAAAGAAGTATTCACTGCGTGGAAGAGGCCTAGCCCAGGTAGGCCGCCTTATATTTTGCTGCTTCATTGAGTATGTGTGAGGGTTATTGCGGAGCCGAGAATGCTTATGATAATTTGGTAGGAATGGAAGAAAGAAAATTCACTGCAAAGCAGCGGGACACGGCGCTGGTTTCAAAAGTTTTCGTGGTGTCTCTGTTTCAGAGCTGTATCCAACACAGCAGGCACAGAACCAGACATTTAGTTTATGAATACTCATTTTTCTGAACTTTATTTGGGTTTGGATCCCGGTTTGTGCAGGCAGAAGGCCACTCACTCCAGCAGAGCTTTCCTTGCCCCCTTGTCTACATTGCAGCTCCGCATCTTCCGAAAAGCCACTTCTGAGTATCTGAACAGGATGGGAGAGGGGGCCTGGGGACCTGCAGAGGGAGGAGGAAGGTGAAATTCAAGAGGAGGCAAGGAGTGGCTTTTCAGGCGGCCCAGAGGACCCCATTGAGGACAAAACGGGTAGGAAATGTCTGTTTAAACAGTCTTCTGCCCATGCAGGTCCAGATACAAACCATTTTGTATTCAGTATTTGGATTTTAAAATAATACTGTTCAGTTGAACAGTACAAGTTTAGTACAAATTTAGGTGTTCATGTGATCTGTTTTCTCAACTGTGAAAGGTTTCATTCAAATGACCTTTCTGTTTAACTTTTCTAGACACAACCGATTTTCCTGATAATTTCATTCATGATTTTCCCAAACGTTTTGCCCTAAGCAGCCTTATAATAGAAAACAACATAATGTTGATGATACTGTATGGGTCCCCTGAGAGCCTGCAGGACAACCCCCCAGTTTCTATCTGTGCACCCATAAACGACTGAAATACACGTGCATGGTTTTTACAATCCTTTTAATTAAAACAAACAAACAAACAAACTTGAATTCTTTGTAGCATAGATAGTTGGAGAGAATTGTACTGACACTGTACATGACGGAATACGTACATTATTCTTTTTTAGCAATATCTTCTCTCTTGCGGTGTGATGTGGCAGGTACATGTCAAAGTGTTTTTAGTGTACGTGTTAAGGCAGGAAAGGAATCAGTCTTGACCTCATGCAGGGTGAAAAAGCAGCACTGTGTTTTTGTAAGACTGGCGGTGTTGCTCGATTTCTGTCTCTGTAATACGTTGCGCAGAAGCTTGCCCTCTCCTTTCCTCTCTTTGTACCAGAGATGGTACAACTTCTTTGTTTGTGGGAGACTATATTCTGTTTTCCTGACTGTTTCCCAGGGTCTGGAAGCATTGACCTCAGTAATGAGGCTAACTCCATCAGTAAGATTATAAGTGTGCAGGGCATGTAGGCAGGCAGAGGTGTGGCAACACATTGAAAATCTAAATGAGAGGTGTATCATTGAAGTTGTGTGCCTCAGGAACCACATGAATTTGCTTGAGTAGCAAGATCTGCCCTGTGGACTGTTGGCAACCAGCTCTATCATCTCTTTAAATCATGAATGAGCAACCTCTGGCCCATAGGTATAGTTAAGGCCCACCCCAGGTCCCAGTTTGGCCTGTGAGGCTGTTTCCCCAAAGCCACACCCATCCACTCTGAACCTGGCATCACACAGGCAGCTACGATTGAACAGTTGCGAACCTTAACATCTGATCAGCTGATGGATCATGACAGCAAGCTGCTGGCATCAACTGCTGTAGTGCAGCCAATGGAAAGTATAATAAACATTTGAGGGCTGACTGTATACCAGTAGAATAATCCTAGGCGGTTTTAAAAGCTGCTGAATGTGTGAAAACTCAGGTCACTCTAGTTTGCTTGCCATGATCTCACATCATGCAATTAAGCCATACATTTTGCAAATAAGGGAAGACCATGAGCCTTGTTGGGCTGATATGCTACAGATACGGCACATCTCTTTTCTTCCAACAGACACAGCAAGTACTGTTTTCTAATGTTAGCCTTGTCAATATACAATAATTAAAGGATTCATTATGAGGGAGGGCAGAGATGCATTCTTTATATTCTTCTCACTCATTTCATTTTGTATGAAGATCTGCAGAATTTTTTTTTATAATGGAGGGTGAAATGTTTAGTATTACCAATGTACTATTTTACAAACAAAGATAAAGTGATGATGTGCATCCTAGGTTGTTTTTTTTTAAAAAGAAGAAGAATAAAGACATTTTTAATATTTTGAAAAGAGGAAAATATTTCCCGGTCGAAAAGACAGTTTCTGAGTCTGCAGGTACATTTCTTTCTTGCTTTGCAGTGCAGAAAATAGCTATATCCTTTCCCCGCCCTCCTTTGCTTTCAGTTTTTAGAGGGACATGAGACAAGATGGATTCTACTTAGCGTTTTCTCTGGGGGAGGCAAGAATAGTAGCTTGGAAAGTATGGAAACCAACCTGAGGCCTGAAGATGTGATCTCATGTCTATAGCGTCACAACTTTGTATGATTTCTTAGAGGAAAAATAACATGCCAACTTTTATTACCAAGACGGTAGTTAGCTTATGATGTAGTCTTGCGCACGCTTACTTGGAAGAAAGTCCCATTGAAGTAAATGAGACTTGCTCTTGAGTAGACATGCAAAGGATTGTACTGTAAGTATTAGTACTGAGAGACACAATCTGTCCTGACAGAGCATTTCTAGCTATGTAGTTTTCACGTCTATTGAGATCTGAGTTTTATAAACTGTCAGTTACATTTTGTATGTTGTAAACCAAAGCAAAAAAATAATTGCACTGTTCTGTTGCTCTTGAACCGCATTTTTTCAGTACCTCTATCAATGCAAGGTTAATTGTATTACTGTGAAAAACTGACTTTGAATTCATATAATTTAAAATACAGGTTTTGGCATTGCTTTCAAACTCTCCATCATGAAAAGCATTGTGAGGTATAAAAACATTGTTAGCAAAGACAGTGTCTTTATTATTCACACTAAATTTCAGAGTTATCCATTACTCTGTTGCGGCTAGAACAGCGAGAGTCCTATGGTACCTTTAAACACAAACAGTGCAAACCCGTACATGTCTGCATGTCTACTCATTGTAAGTCCCATTGAGTGCAATGGAGCTTACTCCAAGGTAAGTGGAAATAGGATTGTAAACTAACTGATTCATTATGGTTTAAGCTTTTGTGGATTAGATGCACAAAATGTTATTCTCAGTTATATATGCACGTAAGTACAGTAAAAGAACATTCAGTGAAGCCAGTAGGCTGTGTGATACGAAATGCAACAGGTCTGCAGAGAATCATGGTCTATCCACAACAGCTGCCATTGGTGATACTTTATCTTTTTGGCAATTTATGCTGGTATTCCAAGGTAGAAAAGTAAAACGAAAGCAAAAACCTGATCTCACTGCGTTAGAAATCTCAGACCCACCATTGCCGAATGAGCAGTAGCGAGATTACTCCATTCTATGGGAATAATGTAATCACTGTGGTTAATAGCACATATATTTGGGGTTTCTGTGTACGAAAGGCAATGAAAAAGGGTTCTTCTGCAATAATGTACTGATCTGAAAAGTGCATGTTTGAGTTAGTTACGTGGCACAAAAGCGAAGCCTGAAAATAACTGCCTTTTTGCCGTTATCCACAACTTACCACAATAAGCGCAACAACTGATGTTTAAATTCTATTCACTGCAGCCACCGTTGCAGGAGCATGCAGTGGAGGAGACCCAAGGCTTTATGTTCCTTGCCGTTAGGGAATCTGTGAAATCCTGCTCTATGTTTTACTGCATGACAATTTGGTGGCGGTAGCGGTACACCTGCCCAGTGTTATAAGACTAAATGCATGAGCCCCTTGCTTGATGCCCCACATAAAGCCAGATTATGGGGAGGTTGCATCCAGTTTTTGTGTTGCCTTGTAATGTCTTGCTGTTTATTTATATACAGTACTGGTATAATAGGAGAATGGACGTTTCTACGAAAAGTTTTGTTTGCTAACAACAGCAGCAAAATTGCAGTGGTGCAACTAACACGTTCTGGTGTCCATTCTTCTTCACAAGCAGTTTCTCGGCATCTGTTGCCGGAGACTGGAAGTATTTTGTGCCCTATTGTAGTAAAGGCTTGCGCAGGGGACCCACAAATTGTTTTATATTTTGGCTTCGTTGAAGCCTTTCAGAACAGCGACCTTTGGCAGCAATAAATAAATAAATCTATGGCATATCAGTGATATTACAGAAAAGGGGGTGAAAATACAGCTTCGTATTCTGTAGAATCCTTAAGAATTGGTATCAGAATTGAGCTTTAAAGCCCATCCTAATATGAAACGGGTTTATTTCCAGTTTACATCTCTAGCGTCTTAGTGTGAGCCCTTACTACATAGTGTGATGATGAAAACATGACCTTGTTTTCAATTATGCCTAACTGACATATTTCTTGTTTCCCTGTCTTACTATTTGTCTCCTCTTTAACTGGAAGAAATGTCAAAAAGAGAAGATACGATCCAAGTCAGCAGGGTATCTAAGGAACTCGTTGGAAGAGCTTTTCTGTGCATTACTGGATTCCAGATATGGTGGCTTTTTATAGTAGCTGCACAGAAAGTACGTCACTGCAGAAGAAAACTAAGACGAGCGATTTACTACAAATGGCAAGTGGAGATACTTATGAAAGGGCTGAAGGAAAACTTGTCCTTTTCGGAGATTCAAATTTAAGGACTCCCTCCACTCATTTCTCCTTTTTTTAAGGTGATAAGAAACGGGACAGATGTTATAAATGAACTATTTTGGCCGAACTTTTTTAAATACAAAGAACAGAGCAAACAAATCAAGTGCAATAAGAGAACTGTTTCAAAATAGTCAAATAGGTAAAAAGTTTCATAACTGATAACTTGAGTTCGCATGACCTTTTAATATTAACGACAGACTCCAGTGGCATGATAAGCTAACTTTTGAAATGGTAAACTGCATGGCATATATACAGCAAACGAGCTAACAAGCTGACCCCAAGCCAAGTCTGCATACCAAGAAAACAAACCAAAACATAGAAATGCTGATTCTGGGTACTTAGGAAATCACGTTCCACCAAGATACACTATTCTCCAAGTTGTACAACCCCTTCCTAATATATATTCCTCATTCATCTCAATTTTATTTTGGGGGCAACCTTATTTATGGTCCTGCAGGTCTTGTATAGTTTTCAATATAAAAATGAGCAATTTTTGCCATGCCATTCTCAGATAATGACACATTTTCCTAAGGGTTTCGTTCTATGTGTGAGTCTTATCTTCTCGGGTTGTAATGCTTTCTTAAAACATTGCTCCCCTTTTAAGTTTTTGTAGCATGTTGTATAGCAGGGGTTCTGGGCTTGCTCTAAAAGGCATATCGCATGCAGACACAGGGAGTTCTAGCAGAAAACAGGCGTGCTTTTTAAATTTGTATGCTTGAAACCAAAAACCAAAAACAAAAACACCCACCCATCCAAAACCTATTCATATATATAAAGTGCATATGTATGCAATGAATCTTTTCAAATGCATTATTTGCTGTCATGCAGATATTTTGTATATAGTGTAAGAAGTCAACACCCTCTCAAATCAATCACAGAAGTGCCAAGCTTATAACTCTTTAATTTTACCATCTGTTTTCCTTTCTCTATCTCACATTATACGAAAGGAAAAGAAGCCTAAAGAAGCCTTAAATACCCATAAAAATACTGAGAGCTTTTAACAGGTTAAGGCTTTCCCATGTATTGTTTTATAGTCCCCAGCACCACCTCACCTCCCAGGTCCACATCTGTTTATAAAAGTGATCCCAATAGCCATGTCTCTTTGAGTTTATCTGCGTAGTATGTATCTTTCAAGTCACAGCCTCAAATGTTACTTCCTAGACTATTTGTGGTTACTGTCATGGCTCAGCTCCCTTGGGCCAAATAAGAAAGGTATCATTGTATATGTTCAGGTAGCGCTTCTCCATGCTTAAGCACAGCGGGGGGCTTAGGTGTGCATTATTCTCCCTCCCCTGGCCCACAAGCCTCTGAGCACTGCTATCAGGTGTAATCACAGATGCGAAGAGCAGCAATGGCAACTGCCATTAGCATGCCACAGTGAGTTGCATTGTGAATAAAGCTGGCTGGGGTACAATTCTGCACGGTGCTTGTGAAAAGGCTTTATGCTGAAGTCCAGATCAACGTCCTTCTTCACTGCTGCTGCAAAAGCGCTTGCCAATTTCCCACGCCTTTAGTGGCAAGTCATTCTGCATTCAGCCAGCTATGATTTTCAAGATGGCAAGTATCTCGTAACCCGATTCCTACTGCATCAGATGGATACGAATAGAGAGTGTTGTACATGCTTAGTCTGGTTCTCATTTATGTCATTGGTGGGCTACTTTCTGATTACAATTGGCCTTTGGTGTAGTGGTTAAGAGTGGTGGACTCGTAATCTGGTGAACCGGGTTCGATTCCCCGCTCCTCCACATGCAGCTGCTGGGTGACCTTGGGCCAGTCACACTTCTCTGAAGTCTCTCAGCCTCACTCACCTCACAGAGTGTTTTTTGTGGGGGAGGAAGGGAAAGGAGAATGTTAGCCGCTTTGAGACTCCTTAAGGGGAGTGAAAGGCGGGATATCAAATCCAAACTCTTCTTCTTCTCTTCTTTGGTTTGTACCCCAAAAGCTTTCATTCTGGTTACAATTATTCAGGTATCCTAGTATCATTCAGCTGCTCCGGTAAAAATGACCTCCAGTGTATATTGATGTAAACATTTTACCCTTTTAAAATTATTTCCCCCATCACATAATTTGGAACGGTCTTTAAAATGAAGCAGGCTGTGATACTTTTACATTTACATTAAGTTAGATTTTGAATTTAACTGTAGGCATTAAGTTAATGAAGTAATGGGAGGGGAGAGATACTTTTCATTCCTCAAGCTGCAGTAGCCGTTGTAGATTATCACAGTGGCCCTCACCCTATAATCCTATAACATTTTATGGGCAAGTCACAGCGGTTTAGTGGGTGACAGTTTTCACAGAGTTATATACCTGATTAAAATGTACTAAAGACGCAGTGGGAAGGCGGTGTTACTGGAATGAATCTTGATATATAGCTTTCACAATGCTCTGATAAAGGCAGTCTTGCAGGCTATGTATCTTACTTCCCTTCTTGGATCTGAGTCTCTAAAAGCAAACTATTACCTGGGTCACACGTAGTGGTAAGGCAAACCATAGCTTAGTGCAAGTGGGCTCGTTTCCAGAGAGGAGCTGAAGGCTGCATTGCACTTTATTGGGGTCTTGCTACTGATCTGTGCTAAGCCGTGGTTTGGCTCAGATGACTTGCTAAACCAAACCATGGCTTAACTCACTGCAACAAGAGGACCGGAGGAGGAGCGAGTGGCTGCAGTCTCCGGAAGCCTTCCTGCTTGGGTTGAACCATAGTAAACTGAGCCAGTGTGTTCTCTTTCAGGTCTTCCCACTTGCATCACAATATCGATCAGCAGAGCTATTTCACTTCATGTCACTTTGCTTTTGATCATATCTGGGATAAGGGTATCTAAATTGGTGCTGGGGTCTCCTTTTTGGTTCTGTTCTGGGAGCGACGTGGTAACCACAGTAGACAACGCCATTCAATATGGTTCTAAAAATCAGATTGTTGTATTTTTAAAAAATCTTGAAGTGATTCAAAAAAACATTGTAAATGTGCGATGTGATGTTTTTAATCAGACCACACTGGTCCCCAATTATGTATATATGGTAAGAGTTGGTGTAACTTTTTGTTACACTAGCAGTTTCATAAGAAATATTATTTCTTGTCTAAATTTCTCCTCTGCTGTTCTGTTCTGTGTATGTGTGTTTAAAATACACAAATTTTATGTATAGAATGTAAATGACCACGCAACCACATAGCTCACAGAAGTGGATTGTAATGTTTTCTGTGGTACTAGAGTTATATAATCAAACCTGTTAAGGTAGGTACTTACTTTTTTAGAAATTTCATTTACCACATTTTTAAGAGAACATATGTTGCCTATGTTGATTGCCTTTTTTTTTTTTTTACCACAACCAGTGTCATTTTAATGGTGTTTTGACAGAATAAATGTTAAGTTACCATTTCATCCACTATTCTTCTGTTCCATAAAAAGGGTTCATCCTGACAGGAAAATGTATGGAAATTTTATATAGCTTATGTTGATATGCTGCATGATCTCACTGAATTGAGCAAATTCTCTACAAGGGGAAAGCTCCACTACGCAAATTGAATATATATATATACATATATAAATATTCTAGGTGCATGTTATAATAAATTACATAGAACTGGAGTTTTACAAAGTTTTCTTTACTATGCAATGATAGGTATTGCACAAACTTAAAATTCAAAGACAAATGTCTGAGGAACTTTACAAAAGAATACTTGAATTTATTTTTGATCTAAGAAGCTTTCAGTCATATTTTATATTCATTGTTGCTTCCACTATTAATCTTCCTTTAAAATTGTTTGTAATTCTTTTTAAAATGCACAATATGACAAACCAGTTTTTGTTTGAAGTTAATACTCATTCATACCTTGTTGGCTGCTGATGAATGGAAATTCAGTTGTCATTGTTCTGCATATTAGTTAAATGAGTATTAAAGACTTCATGAACATGGAAAGTTACAACTTCTATATCTTTCTTCCTCAAATTAAATTTCTATGTTCCACATCCAAAACGTGTCACAGTTAAAAGATCGGATAGTACTTAACACTGGAGGCAACCGTTAATCAAAACAGTTTATATATTCACTCATGGGAATGCTGTCATAAGTCTCCCCCATTGGTAAAACAGTAATACTGAGTTGGTTTCTATCAGACATCAAAAATAAGAGTACGACTGCAGCTTAGCATTACTCGTACCTCTGCAGGGTCATTTCACACATTGCAAAAAAGATGGTCACTGCGTTTCTTGTTCCATATTTCTTGTGACATTTGGAGCACATTCACATGTCTGGAAACACATAGTGCCCATGGAACTGCAAACAGCCAAGGCTCCCAGGAAAAAGTTCGACATGTGGTTTTTTTGAGAGACAGAAATTCCATTCAAAAATAATAGTGATGATATGCTTGAGCTGCATTGGTAAGAAGCAGCCTCAATGGTCTGACCCTGTTATTCGGTGGATTAGGAGTATAATGTACACCAAGGAGGGAGGAGGGCAAACCAGAAGCCTGCTTGAGTCCAC